TACAGAGACAAGGCAACAAACAGCTGAAGGAGGAGATGAAGCAGATCCTCCAACAGCACGGGGTGTACAAGCCGGCGCCGCCGTACGACCACCCAGACTACGCAAAGCACCCCACCATCAAACAGCAATACGAGCAATTCACACGAGAACAATCACGCAGAACGCACCCGGCAGGGGCGAGACCGGGGGAGACATGGGACGACACGATCCCTACCAACCAAGGCAACATGGGCTCACAAGATGTCGACTGGGGGGAACTACTCAACCGCCATAAAAACCCACCCCGTCAGGAGGAGGACAACACAGAGCCGGCCGGGCAGCAACAGGCAGGAGCAGACGACGAGACCACAGCCCCCGCGGAGCTGGCAAACCCACCCATGCCCGACAACACCTACGACCAGCCGCTGGCACCAGAGCTGCCCCTGCAACCATACACGGAGCTACATGCAGCCCCGTATCTCACGGGATACTGGGTGACGGTCGACCCTCCGGACCAACACCAAGAGCAAGCAGCCAACCAGCATGCCATAGCGACGGCGACCGGGAGCACCAACCCTACACCGGGGCTCCCCCCGTGCACAGAAGCCTACCTGTACCAGGATGATATCGACCCACAGGTGTGGACGATGCACATACACGAATCGCCGAGCCGAGAACAACTCCTACACATTTGAGGGGGGCCATACAGGTACCTCGAACCGAACACCTGGGTACAGTTCCACGTCCCAGCCGGACAACGACAAGCACAGTGGGGGCCAGCGGTGCCCACGGAGATACAAGGGGACCGCCTCCCTCCACATCCACGGCAGCCGAGCCATCGACACAAGAAGTCCCCCAACAACAAGGGCCACAACCACACCCGGCAGCACCGGCCGCCTCGGCGGACCAACAACCTCCCCAGACCCAAGACCAAGACCCAGAAGCAAGCCAGCCACAGCAAACCCACACACAGCACGACCAGCCACAGGACGCCAGCACCTGGGGCCGCCCACACCCCCACCAAAGAATGCCGCAGCAGCTACAGCAGCCACAGCAGCCACACCACCAAACCCAAAGCCAGTCACCTGAGCCGGACACACAGCAGGAGCAACAGTCGCCACACCAACAACAGACCTCGGAGGAAACAAGCGCTCCGGACTGGTACCACAGCTGGGGGGCGACATGGGACTGGCAGGGAACACCAACCACGCAGCAGACGTGGCACGAACAGCACCAGTTACAGCAGCAGCCAGGGGCCACCCACCATGAACCAACGGGCACACACACCCCCACGCAGTCAGATACACAAACACCACACATACCCGCCACAGAAAGCCAACCAACACAATCCACAGGTTGGTGGTGGAACTGGGCAAATAGCCATACATGGCACAGCACCACCGCAGGAAGCAACGAAGGCACCACAGCCACCAGCGCCACCACCACCACTACCACCACCGCCACCACCACCACCACTGCCGACGCCGCCACCACCGCCACCACCACCTCCAACACACCTACTAACACGGCAACCACAACCACCACGCTGAGGGAGGACGAGGAGGAGGACCACCCAAACCCGATGCAGAAGCCGGGCAGCCTGAAGCCACCCTCCGCAAATAAGCATGCGGCCCAGAAGACGCCGAGGCCCAGGGCATCAAACAAAAGGAAAACACCCACCAGAGCAGGCAAGAGGAAAACTCAGCACCCAGAACCACAGGAGGCAAAAGGGGGAGCCGACACGCCAACACCCACACAAGACCCGGCAGATATGACCCCCAAAGAAAGAATGCGACACCACATCACCATGGCGCTGGCGGACATCAATCCCAGCAACGGGACAGACGCTGCAGCCCACCTGCACGCATGCCTGGCAGAACTGGCAGCCGCCACAGACCCCCACACAACCCCGACAATGATGGGGGGCAGACCGCCACAGACAGCGCCCAGCAGAACACAACCAGGCCCCGCACCTGGAAGAGCGCCCCTCCACACGGTGCCCTGCAAGCACTACCACAGGGGACCAGGGAGCCGACCACACCCAACAGGACAAGCACCTGCGCAGTCGCGCAATAGAATGGGAGGAGGCAGCCAAACTCAAACTGCTAAGCAACCTCCTGGAAACACACACACACACACACACACCCCCACCAACCAGATGACCCACACGCTGGCAGTCATCAAGGAGCTCATGATACGGGGCACGAGACGCATGAACCAAGTCAGGAGGGTGAATGACTGGCAGACATGGGGGTGAGGGGAAGCGGCAGCGGAGGCGAGCCTGGAGCAAATCACGCAACTGCTTGAACAGATGAACCAAGCAAGCAAGGGGGTGCCCACCGTGGAGATGCCAAGCAGGCAATCCCAGCACCACATCCAACAACTTCTCCGGGAGACCCTTACGCTCACACAACAGGCCGCGGAAGCACACGAAGTGGTCATTGAGGCCCCACAATGGTCCCAACCACCGCTGCTACCACCACTGCCACCACCACAAGACCACCCGCATCACCCCACAACAACCAAAGCAGCCACGGCAGCAGCAGAAACAGTGGCAGAAGAGAAGAAAATGGGGGAAAGCCCCCAACCAAACCCGGCCCACCCAGCGGACGTCATAGGCCTGGCGGCGGGAGCGCAGAAAAACCGCGGTGGCAGAGAGCCGACAGGGGGAGAGCCAACACACATCGTCAAAGCCAGAAACATCCTCACACAGCTCATACCATTCCTAGTCCAGGAGGAGGCACGCCTGGCGGCACAAGCAGCCAACGCACTGGATGAATGGCTGGCAGAACACTGGGGTGAACCCATTGTGCTCCTCGAGACACAACACGAGGAAAAGGGCCCCACATCCAAGTCGGATCCCACAGAAGGGGAAGAGCCAGACACCCCTGACACCATACCCTGGGCACCCCCGACACCACCCTCACACCTGCAACCGGCCACACACCCATTGACACAGCACCGCACGCTGCACCACCCAGACCCACACCCACTACACGAACCACAACAGCTGGGGACGGTGGACAGAGAACCCACGGAGGAATACCCCTCGCCACCAGACCCAGAGGAGACCACACCAAGACGAAGACGAGCCGAAGGGGAGAGGGAACTACATCGACGTGACCACCGACTACCAGCACAACGGCGAAGGCGAACACATGGGGGGCGCGAACTACACCAACGAGAGCATAGAGTACCAGAAGGGAACTACGACAGCAGACGGAGGAGAACGCATGAGGGAGCCAGCAGCGACAAGGAAAACGATGGGAGCACAGAAAGGGGGGATGACACCGAAGTGCAGCTAGTTTGAGGTTACGTGTGCGTACGGCCCCGATAGGATGTTTGAGTGAGTCTAAACCCCAAACCCATCGAGGAAACCGGGAGGCACAGAGGGGGGATGCCGAACAGTAGCAGTTTTTGCAGAACCCCTGACTCCTGAGTATTTTGGCCAATGACCGGACGTCCACTCAACACGAGATGGACGTCATGTACCAACAGACCCGAGACCAGCACGCGCCCCTGGGGGCGGCCTCCCTTTGGGGGGGTCATGCGTGGGGGAGAGAGAGAGAGAGAGAGAGAGAGAGAGAGAGAGAGAGAGAGAGAGAGAGAGAGAGAGAGAGAGAGAGAGGGAGCGAGAGAGAGAGAGCGAGAGAGAGAGGAACCGGGAGAACCTAGCAGCCCATAACCTCCTACGAAAACCGTGGGGGGCCAAACCAACGAACCATCGGACATTGCGCGCCCCTCGGGGCGGCCTCCTCCTTCGGGGGGGGGGCATGCGTGCAGAGAGAGAGAGAGAGAGAGAGAGAGAGAGCGGGGAAACAAGCACAGTCTCTCACACCATCGTCGTCCACCGAACCTCTGAGCCACCCCGATCCGGGGCGGGCGATGACGCCCGGGGGCCCCGGCCCCCACGCCCTCCGAAAGAAAGAAAGAAAGAAAGAGAGCGAGAGAGAGAGACAGAGAGAGAGAGAGAGAGAGAACAGAACATGTAAAGTAACCCCATAAGGGCAAAGTACCCCAAAACACTGCAGGCTTGACAGGGGAAAGCTACACAAATTTGCGAACCCCAACAAGCACTGCCTTCAAGCCAGGGAAACACTGGTTGGCATATAAGGGCAATTTTGGGTCAGTGGTGCAACAAGGATAATGAACCTGGCAGTCTCACCGGCGGGGCAACGGATGGATGCCGAACTAGCGCTAGTGGGATTCCTCGCAGGGTGCCCCTTGCTACTCAATAAACGGCTAGCTGGTCGTGGTGTTGTGGGAATCTAGGGGGAATCCACACAGCTCGGGCATGAAACTTAGCCGTGAAATGTCACCGAAACTGGACTTGGTCTGGGCGCGCCCTTCGGGGTTCCTCAAGCCCCGTAGTAGTAGTAGTAGTAGTAGTAGTAGTAGTAGTAGTAGTAGTAGTAGTAGTAGTAGTAGTAGTAGTAGTAGCAGTAGTAGTAGTAGAAGAGAACAGACCAGACCCAGAGGCCGATCTGTCAGAAAGGCCGATCGTAACAACAACGTAGAAGGAATGAAGATGGGGGGGGGGTGTTCGCGAGCTCAGCAAGAACCGCGGCGTGCACCGGCGCCTTCAGACTGGAGTCTATCTCGCCCAGACTCCGTCATGCGTGCCGCCAAGATCGGGCAAGCCTACAGCAGGGCGCGGAGCGACGAGCAGCAATATGTCAAATACATGGGGCACAGCGTGACAGGCGGCGATCAATTGCGCAACCCGAGACAGAGCAAATCACAAGCGCGGCAGTGAAGAAGCAGGCAACGACGGGGCGACATCCAGAAAAAGCAGAACTGAAGAGGCAGGGGCATAGTGAACATCGGGTGCTTGCCAGGACACAGCCTATCAAGAGCTGTAGTGCACAAGAGCAGGCCAGGCACCGGAGGGAAATAAGATGGCGAAAGTCTAGCAAAAGACGAGAGCAGACAAACAGGCTCAACGCAACAACTGGACAATTACAACAAAGCATGGTAAGCACGCTCGCAGCAGTAAGGAGTCAGCACATCGCCAAACTCAGGAGAGAACTACGACCTCAAGTACGGAGCTCGCCAACCGGAGGCACTCCGACTCTGCATGGGTGCACGAGAGCCGTCGTGAAGCATGGACTTCAAGATGCCAAGATGCTCTGGGCTTCTAGTGCCAGAGCTTAACGATGTTTAACGCTGTCAAGGTGTCGTCTCGTGATGCGCAAGTGGACAAGGCCTGGAGCTAAAGCATGCACGAATGCAGGGTCGCGTATCGCAAAATTCTGTACGCTGCTGAAACCTCTGAAGCAGCTCACTGAGTGTTTTCATTGCAGGAGCCACCTGCCAACTCAAGTTCGGGTGCGGCATCCTCTGAAGGCCCTCTCGAATTATTGCATCACATTCTGATGCCGGGGCCGGATCATGCAAACAATTGTAGACTAACAAACACCATCAAACACCTCTGCTCCTTCTGAAGCTTCTTTGGATGTGGTCCGCGTATGTCTGCGGGCTTCACAGAATGGCACTGCGACCAACATGTTTGCGGAGCACACACATGCTACGCGCGATGCTACGCTATGAGGAAGCCCTCTCTCACCTTGGCACTTTTCAGGAGCCCCCTCTCACCTTGGCACTTGTCAACTCCCCCCTCCCCCGCAGACGTCTTCAACCAACAGCACAGAGTTAAATGTAAAGAAAGAGGGTGGTACCATGTGTTACATGAGGTTGCTGTTGCATGCTTTCTTTTCGCAAGCACTGAAATCGGGTCAATACGCCCCTCTTGTACAGGGCCACGCTCCCGAACCTGACACCCGTGTGGGAACAGCCGAAGTTCAACAGAAGCTGTTTCATGTTTGGCGCTGCACGCTCCCGACAAGCAACAGCAGCTGCGGTTGAGAAGTGGAGTATTCTGACTCCCTAGGCTAAGCCTAAGTCTAAGCCAAAGTCTACAGTACAGAGAGATTGCCAGCTTAATTGGGCTAGTATTGGGCTTATGGGACGCTTGCCAGCAGTGCAGGTGAGCAGAGCTGGTGGCGACACCGGCTTGTTCTTGATGGCACTGCTTAGAGATCACGTGGTATCCCTGAAGCGGGAACTGTGAATAGTACGACAATTTCGAATGTGTAAGTTTGAGTGAGTGTATGTGCAGCTACTTCAAGAAGAATCCACGTCCAGGTTTTCTGCCATCTTTTCTCCTTTCCTGACGGCCACGATCCCAGCCTTTGCCTGTAAGCTCTACTCTAAGCGATGAAAGTAGAAGTCATGGGTAGCACAAAATGGTGAGTTCTTTCCAGCATTGCTGTAACATACTGGAAGCTGAAGAATGCGCTCTAAGAAGGAATGCAGGCAAACAGATGAGCGAGCAAAGCGTCAACATGGTAGCCACGTGAATGCCAGTGAACACGAGCCTACTGAGGAAGGCGACATGCGTGAAATCCATGCGCAGCCCTGGGCCCAGTCGACTCCGTGGCTGCGTGGTCTTCCATGGTCTACATGAGTCTACATTCACAAGATAGGGTCAAGGTCAGAAGGTGCAGAACGAATGAGCCGTGCATCTGTTTGGTGTGGCTTCTTCGCACCAGGTCTCGTTTGGATGAAGCCGACAGCCGGAATGAGGGCTGATCTTGTCCCGTGGTTTTCACGGCTTGCTCACGTAAGTGTGTGTCAGGAGCCCTTCACCTTCGATACAAATGCAGTATGTACATAAATAATATGCTAAGCAACTTAAGCAGGAGCAGTAGACTTGCGCCATCGCAGCTTGACTGCACCACCATTCTCCAGACATGTGCGGCATGCAAGCATGTCGCGCTGAATGCACCGACCTTGACTTGCTTGTGAACATGCCTGGGAAAAACAAGAAACCGGTTGATGCCCAGCCACAGCAAGTGTAGTTTCTCTTTTCAGAGGCGCATAGAGTAGCATGGCCACCAGCAGCATTTCCAGTGAGATGTGCTGTGCCTCAAAGAGGACATCCGCGATCGTTCCGTGCGTCCTGGTGGTTTTTTTGACTCCTGGGACTTCCGCACAGTTTCAGTTGCGGACTTATGCCAGCAGCATCAACGGAGCAACTGATATTCGGGCCTTTGTAGTTGATCCAGTTTGACGTCGACCAGCTGCGCAATGGTACGTGCTTGCTTGCATGGGTCAGTTTGAGCAAGTATGTCCTTGGTCGCCTGCAAGCTCTGAGGACGAACTAGATCAGCCATCCCTGATGGTAGTTCAATTCCCATGCGCGAACCAAAACCGAGCTCTTAAGAGCAGGTGGGCCATGACTCATGACGAAACTATGCCCAACGATGCCGTACCGGGATGTACTGGGTCCAGTGCATGACCGAAATTATTCTGATTCGATTTATCCCGGATGGGTTCACGAATCCACATTTCCACAACCACGGCTCAGGAACTGCAGTTTAACAACTTTGAAAACAAGCAGGATTGGAGGAGGGTGAGCTGATTCTGTCTTTAACCTTAATATGGATCATATGTACTGGCAAAAACCTTGTTTCCAAACGCTGGAGTACTCTAAGGCCAAGATGCCCGTGAATGGCACATGTCCGGAGAATCCTGCACAGTTGGTCCGAGGTTGTTGCGTTCTTGTTTGTCGATGCCTGGGTGTCGAACCTGTTGCTGAAGGCCACGGTGGTTCGGTAAGAGGGCTTCTGCACACGAGCTTGTAGTCTGTTATACCATGTTATACCGTTAAACCGTCCCAGCTGACCGGAGACCGAAAGCTATAAAGCCTGGAAAGGAGTTCTCTGGCGTGACCAGGGGCATCTGCAAAGCTGCTTCTGTGGCAATCGTGTGCCCCAGCCTCCCACAAAACCTACAGGCCTGCAGGTGATGCGCAGTGTTGTGTAGCATCGCTGTAGGGGGTATCTCTGATTGAGTTTTTGTCTGGGGCTCATGACAGCTCTGCAAGACATAGACTTTCATGTCTTCTGAGTGCAGAAAACTCATACCCGACTTTTGGAAACCTGCAGCTCGCAATTCTTGCTACATCTTGCTGGCGCACCAGCGATGAGAAGGCTTGAGTACCAATTGGCTCACTACGTTGGCCTTCTGCCGTTCTAGTCGCTGACATGGCGTTCCTGCGGCGACCAGCGACGGCTGGAGGTGCTTCCTGGAATGAAGTGCTCCGCACAATGCAGCCAGCGGAGGATGAGGCCACCATGGGCGCAGAATGGGTTGTGTCTCACTGGCATGCTTCGATTCTTCCAGTGCAGGCTTCAGAATGCCACAGTGCATGAACAGAGCATAAGATTATTTAGAAAGCCAGAACAGCTGATTTAGTGAGTTGTTCCTCCTGTGTTTGTAGGATACCGCAAGTGCCTGCAAGCAACCATCATCAAGGGCATGCCATGACAATGAAGTGACAATGAGAACTGGGCCCGATTGCTAGACATTCTCGTATGTCGTATCGTGGTTAGGATTAAGAAGCAGCCTGCATTGTCATTCTGGCAGACTGTCTGGAGAACGCCCGTAACCCACCAATACTCGAAGGCCGGCTTTCTGGCAGGGCCATGGGGCGAGTGCCTGACGGAGGTGGCTTTCACATGTTGTAGTTTTTGATTGCAAGCAGTGGGAGATTAGATCGGTATGCAGAGGCCACAGCTTGCGAGCACACGGAGGCCAACCTAGGCCAGGCTGGACAGGCGGGTCATGGCGGGTCATCCGATCGAAATGGAACGGCATTGAAATGTCATGCATGTAATGCTCCCCGCCGCACTTTCACAGGTGATCGACTTTCTGGTCAGCTGTGGCCACCGGCGCTTCGAGAAGGCTGCGGACAAGCTGGAGAGGCATCCGGACGATCTGCGTGACGGCGTCTGAGTCTGGGTCGACTGTTGGACTTCTCTACCTGCGGGAATAAATTATGACCGATCATGTGTGAAGCATGTCGCAGAGTCGTGGAGTCCACCGGAAGTGCACTAACTACATGGCCAGCAAGGAGTAAGTCACCCACCAGAAGGATCTTATACTGCGTAGTAATGTTCCACCCTCTGTAGTCTTTAGTGTGTTGCTGCATTTTATATGACTCTTCGAATTTCAACTAGATGAGTTCATATTATGAGGCCCGGCAATTTAGTTTGAAGGAGCGCTGCGCGAAATATTCTTGCGACCCAAAAGACTGGACTTAATGGGGTCCCGCCGGGCACCCCGCAAAAGGTCACACCGTCCTGAATAGCCTGGCAAACTTGACTTTAAAGAGGGGGTAGGGTTCCAAGGATGGAGTCTGGGTGCACTGGCTGGGGAGCTTCTGTCCGACCTGACTAGCAAGCCGCAAAGCTCTAAGCCTCCTAAACCCTACAGCCCTGAACCCAAAAGGCGTGAGAAAGCAAGCTCGTCCGAGTAGAGCAGCAATGCCTAAAGACGTCATGTAAAAAGAGTGGCGGTGGCAGGTACGTGTAAACCCCAATCCCGAAGACAAGTGCAGAGTGGCATCCACCTTAACCCTAATCCCTACATGTACATTAACCAGAGCATGACAAGCCCTTCTATCCCTACCGTAACCAGTGGCAAGCCCTCAAGCCTAGAAGGTGGACTAACCCGTCTCCAAGGCCAAAACCTAGACCGTCCCGCGCCCAAGCGAAAATGAGCCCTGAACCTGTCCAAGAGAGGGCCCAATAATTGGCTTGCAATTCACGACGGTGCTGTTAATTTTGTCATTATGCTTTTTGCAAAGTCCATGCACCCTAATCTTGAACCCTGGGTACCCTCATCACTGTGCAGTGCCATGCAGACACTTGCTAGTCATGCCGCATGCTTGCTGGACAGGGCAACGCACAAAGCAATGAAGAATGGCGGAATTCACAACTGCCCTCCTTCAGCAAAGGACCCTCAGGCCAGCAGATTCATTGCATCGGCTGTCACATTCTGTATCTCTTCCTGTGCACTTCGACGAAGGCCTGGGGCCCTGCGAGACAACGCCTTCCCCAGGCACACCAGTGGCTCTCTTCGGGATTCCCATGCCCATCCCTTTTTGTCGGACGTTGGACAATTTTCCAAGGCCATGCCAGCAATGCAAGCCGCGGCCACAACACCACCAAGGTGGAGCCATGAGCTAAGGATTGATCTGTTTCATGTGTTTCGTTGTAGAGATCTGGGCGCATTACCAAGCTTGCCATTCATAGATTTTCTGGGATGGTGAAGTTCTGGATCGTCAATCAGCTCGTCTCAGCATAATGCGGATTATATGACAAGCTTAGTGCCATAATGTCCGCTGACGAGTCATTTCTCTACTCGAGAAAAGGGCGATGCTTCACGCGGGCATGCCCTACTATGACTAAACAACAACAAACGAAAAGGAGCTCCCCCTCCCAACTTCACCGCTTTAAATGCAGTTGTAAACCGTGCAAGGCTTGATTTGTACAGAAGATTACGCCATGAAGAGGTCTTGCAGAAAGAATCATACGAACTCTTTCCAAACCTGTCATGCGAGCACGTTGGCAGGTCTGGGTATCCAGTTGCGGGCAGATTGGGCAGCAACAGATCGCGCAGCTCTAGCAGCTCCAGCTCCAGTAGCTCCAGTTCCAGCAGTTCAAGCTCGAGCTCGAGTAGTTCACCAGGCGGGCATGGGTCTTTCAAGGACTGCTTACCTTGCAGGCTGACTGACTTGATGTTCAATTCAACTGAACAAGCGGATGCATATCTTGGACTCTTGGACGTGAGGTCGCCGCCTCGATCCTGAAACCAAATCTATGTGCCGCGGCGCGCCGCCCAGCGGCAGGACACTGACCCACTGCCCAGTTTTCGAAGTACATCATCGAACATCTTCAAACTGCTTCACTGCTTCAGTGAATCAAAGGGGAGGCTGGTATACTTGGAGCAACGGAGCTGAGCCCATAAATCAGCCTAAACCGCAGGGATGCACATGGGGATCGTAGCGGTGGGTGGTTTGTTGCGTTTGGACGAGCACCAATGCCCATGAAGGGATCTTCCCGTCTGCGCCGTTATTTTCTGAATCATGCCCCCCAGCTGCTAACCAAACTGACCTTGCCAGGATAGATGAGCTGCTGGAAACGAATATTTCCGAGCTCCCTCTCGGTGTGGTTTCAGAGATTTCGAAGCGAGGCGAAGCAATTCTCCGATTCACCTGGCCGTTCTGCTTTGCAATCTTCATAACCTTTCGCTTCAAGGTGCCGCCATCAGCTCGGCGTTGCGCCTGAAGAGCAGCTTTCACTCGACATGGCTTGTCGACGTCGACCCACCCCTGCAGGACCGTGAAAATGATGTGTTCTGGCTTCTCCGTGCCCGTCAGATGTGCAGCTGCTTGCGTTTGCAAAAGTTCGATGAAGTTTGCAAAAGGCTGGGAGATGTTGTGATCGCACAGTTGGGTTATTTCAACTTGCTGCAAATGGCCAGGACGAGAAGAAGCACGCCCAGGTCATCGTGCAAATCTTAGGGTCAGAGGCCAGGTAACTCGTGTGACTCGCATGCAAACGACGATCACAATCGAATTTACCATTCACCCTTCCCAACTCTTCCAGAGCCACAATATTCGCATTTCCCTACGATGCGCACCAAGACAGCCTCAGTGGAGGTCGGAGATGACCCGTTCACCTTCTTCATCTCTGCCAAACGGATCGCGCATGCCATGCGGCTGGCTCGAAATACAGGCCAGCAAGACAGACCGAGGGAAAAAGACACCACGAGAAAGACAGCGATGAAAAGTGTTTTGATACGGTTGCTACGTGTGCCCACAGACTACACTTGCTCCGGCAAAGCGCCAGAGAGCCTGGCAAGTAACATGGCTTTAAGCTTTACGAGTACGGTTTTGGGATGTCTTGGGCTTCTCACATGGGCCGGTGCTCTCCCAGTCTTCCAATATTGACAAAACGTCGGTACCAACAGTCGGGTCCGTCCTTATATATTTGAAAGCATCTTCCAAGACCGTCGCAAGCCACCGTCCTCATTTGTCAAGGCTGTTCTACCGGAAACTATCTTATTTCTTCCAAGGCGTTGGAACTCAGCGTCATTATTCGCCAAGGCTGTCCTGGCATCGCAACCCACCATGTTTCTGACCGGATTGAAGTTCAATCCCAGGATTCAATTTCAACCCGGCCTGGGTCCAAGATTCCAACGTGGCCTGTGAGCTTTGGGGTCCAAGATGCTCTCGACGAAACCCCTGATAATCTTGGATTTTGAATCCCAGGCCGGATTGAAATTCAATCCTGTGATTGAAGTTCAATCCTGTGATTCAAGTTCAATCTTGGTCATACACGTACTACAACTCACTCAAACACGACTAACGGTAGTTCAGTCTGCTGTGTTTAGCTGTCTGCCTGCGCCACGCAGTGACTGCATTCACTCTTACACTAATAACTGAAGTCCTACTGTCTGCAACTGTCCTGTGCTGTAAAACCACCCTGACTATGGTTTCAGCGTGGGGGCTTGAGGAGGGACGAGGGGATCACCATCCTTATCATTCACCTTATTAAGGTTCATTCAGTTTTTGAATAAAGACAGGTCCGGATCCGAGATATAAGATTCAAGATGCAGGAAACTTTTCTTGCATCTTGGGAGAATCTGATGCCATATTGTGGTGGTTTGCATAGGGAAGGGGCTTGTGCAGCGCCGCATATTTTGGACGAGCGGTGAACTGTCGGCCGCCCACAGTTCTACAAGTAGGTGGAGTGGTCAGCCCTCATGCATGCATACAGCGGTGCGGACCGTTCTCATGTGCAGTCATGTCACGTGTCTTGGTGCATGTTGATGCTTTGGCACCATGCATTTCTGTTTGAACATGTTTGAACGAAGCAGACTGACTCCGAACCCCCGTCTCCAACAAAGCTCAGCCACCAACTACCCAATCTTGTTGCCAAGCCTCAGGGGCCCATTCCATCCCCAACCCCTCAAATTGGCCGCCAGGACTTCGCGTTCCTGATGTTATTTTCATTGGGTCCTGTGAGACACCGATGGGCAATCTGGATTTCATTGTGCAGGAGTTTATCGTCACGCAAACGATAGAGGCCAGCATCAGAAAGGTGTGCGAAGTGGGTGCGATCACAGTGTCAGTATGTTTCAGTCAAGAGTCCGAAGGACATCGTAAAGGCACCTCGTGCAGAGTGGCATCGTATGGAAGCTGAGATCCTGACCAAGCTAAAGACGGTAACCGTTAAGCCTGCTGACGCATCACCGATGCATCTCGGACTCATGCAGCCTCCCCCTTCAGAGAGCCGCCATCTGAATGTGGTGGTGCATGTTAGCTATGCATATGCGCTGTAAGTGTAGCCGCATCTAAGATTCTGGAAAACTCATGCCCAGGTTGTGCTTCAATAGCCTGAACCAGTACTTGCTATGGCTGCTTGATTCGGTTCCACCGCGGCTCCCCGCCATTGCAGAGGCAGGTTCAACTTGCACGCTGCATCACAGGGCTGGGCTTCCTCTGTGCTCAGGCATTGAACCGATTCATGCGTGAGGGTCACCGCCTGAAGAATTAAGCTACAGGTTCTGTTGACAGTACCAGCCATGTTCGATCTTGTTTGGAATGTGGTGAAATTGCATATATCCAAGGTCCACCACGCGAATCCACCGATGCCGTCCTCTTGCACCAAGACATCAACAACGGAAACCTTCTTGCTTCCAAAGTTGGCGAGGTACTCTGACGAGTTTGTGTTCTGCTATATTTGCAGAAGCTGGTGTTAAACATTCTCTCTCTCTCTCTCTCTCTGTCGCTTTCACTGTTTCGGAGTTGCGACAGCAGGTATGGCAGCTAGATGCCGTGATTGATTGGGAGTCGGCCGTGGTCGGCCCCGCAGAGATGGCCGAGCGACCTCTGCAGGAGAGATGTCCACCAACAAACCCACGTTGTTTAAGGCTGACGTTGGTGGATTGAAAATTGTTGTTTGTTTTCGATTTTCCGTTTTTCTGACTACCCCAACAAAGGAATCAATCTAACATGATGCCCCCCCCCCCCCAGCCAATATTCCCTGTCGTTCCGCAAGGAGCACTGGCGGATTGCACTGGCCTTTGGATCGGTCGTGAAGGCAGAGTCTTTCCTGCGCCCCTGTCGTGACATGTGCAGAAGGGGTGAAAGACACGATCATGAAGAAGGTCCTGTATGTACGTACTTCACCGTGAGAAACCCGAAGCTTCGCGCGAGAACATCAGTGGGTTTCAAATCTAATCAGGAAACAGCCAGGCGCATTGGAGCGTAAGAGTCTTTCCTGCTCCGTCAAAGGCCAAAACAGATCAGGGAGACTTGCGAACACGAGACATGCTGTCCATGCTCGGACTCCAGTTCCCAATGTTCCCATTCATTCTGAGAATCCAAACTGAGGCATGTGGGGTGCCACCTGATCAATCTCAACATGGTTGCTCTGTTGCCCTTCCCCATTCTCATCCATTCACCCATAGGTGAAGTTGAATATCAGCACTGAGTGTGAATCCATTTAGCGCTATTCTCGGTTGCGAAGCCCACGACAGCTCCCCAGCCGGCTCCACTCGTAGACATGGCAATGGCTTCCACTCCTGGTCCCCTATCCCGGAACAAGGGGCACTGCGCATGGGTGCCGTGAACACGACGCACGACATTTACTTTTCTGGGCAGAGCTCGAGAACGATTGCAAACAATTTCGCGAAAAAACGAGAAGCAGTCTCCCCTTAACCTGTGCTTCCTATCATTCGTTTGCACATCTACAGCCACCCCGCGATGCCAACGAAGGCTTCACAGACACATACCCTCGTGTGGCAAACGCAGTGCAGCGACTCTCGGCCAACGCGCGCTATCGAGCGCAGATGCCAACCACCCTGGCCTTCTGCTGCAACGTGCTCGAGAAAACTGTTCGATTGACGAGTATGTCCATGCGAATCTGTACATACATATTTACATATGAGTATCACGCGTATTGTGTTGTGTTTTGCTGTCCTGCTTCAGTGTTCTTGCCTCGCTGTTGACGAGCAACGTCGGCTTCTAGGTGCTTCGCAGCCTTCAAATTTGTGCACTTGCGAGGTTCTGGCCTTACCCCTTCTTTGCCCAGCTGAGTTAAACTCGTTGCGCACCCCGGTCTGCGGAAGCACTTTTGAGTAGCACGCTGATTCCAGATTCTGTCTGAGTTTCTGTTGGTCCATTGTGGATTGTGAACCATTCTTCAGCGCTAAATAATGTGTGGAGCCCCTTTGTTGCTACCAAACGCTCAGAACTTTTGAGCAAGTCACGGTTTGGTAGGTGAGGAGCTCACGAGGACCAGGCTTGCAGAAACTGAGGTGCTCATTAATTATAAATCACATTACTCTTTCCCTACGCATAAGAAGAAAATGTCGTCACCAGTTTCGTTTTCTGTCAAGAGTTAGCTCTGGAAGGCTATTAAAATCTAAACGGCAACTTAAGATGGATGGAAGACATGGAAGATGGATGCAGCTCAGAGAAAAGATGCCAAGCCTAAGCTATGGAATGCTGAAACCCGAACCTCAGATCCCACAGCCCTACAGCAGCCCGAATGCCAAGCGATTTACAACTAACTCGACCAAACCTAAGCATCAAGGTTTCAGAGCCAGCACGCACTGCACGGCTAGAACAGTGCGAGAAGCCAATGACTATCAGGGGGCCTGGCTGGCTGGTCAAATGGCAGAGGGTGACCTGCCTCGTTGTGTGCTGGAGGACATCAACGAAGAGAGGGTGGGGGGGACAGTGCTCGCTAGCTTCATATAAGATATCGTACAGTGAATGCAGCGTGCCCGACATGTATGGATGCCAGGAACTGGTCGAAGAATACACGAAGTCTGCAAGACAGTTGCACCATCGGACCGGCAGTAGTAGCATGGCAGTGGGCTTGCACGGTTTCACGTTCTCAGTTAGGGATGCAGCATGTAGAATCGCCATGACGCGCCGTGCAGGAACAAGCTGACCTTCCAGCCCTGGGCGAATCTGGTTCGGCAATGCTCTGTGAGACCGTGATAAACCTCGACCCCAAAGACAAGATCTCCAACGGCACATAGCAAGAGCAGGTGTACATTGGTATACATTGCCATGCTACTCACGCAAGAGCCAGATTTTTCAGAAGGCTGCCTGCAGCAATGCAAGCATGCCGAGATCGCAGAAGACATGACCACGGACGCTTCATTCGACGGTGAAGAAAACAGAAGACCCAGAAGACTGTCAACTTTGGACATCTCTGACATAGCTTGTACAGATCCCAGCGCTGCACCTAACTGGTGTCTCGGAGGTACTTTGTGTCTTTGCTCTACTCCAAGGACCTTTCGTGAGGATGATCCGTGATTCACCGCGTATGGGAGGGGGTTGGGGCGGGTCTTGTCGCCGCAGCCTGACCCTCCACGTGAACAGGATTGAACAGGCCACGGGAACAGAGAGGTTGAGCTTAGAAGAAGCATGGTGCAGGACAGAAAAGGCAACCCAAGGCTGACGTGGATGGCGATTGGGGTGTCCTGCTTAAAACTGCAGAAGGTAGTTGCTGCCGGTCGCCCTTTTGTGGTCGCTCAGTGACATACCAAAGCTTGGCCAAGATGTTCATTGAGGTCATGCTCAGCTCGCTACTTTTTAGCGTGTCCTGAACACGAACGCGTGAGATCCATTACTCCTGCGCAGCCTCAAAGTAGGCTGTGGTCGACAGTCAGCTGTCATCATCCGTATATTCATATGAAAAGCTGTGTGCCTCAGAACTCAGTGCCTTTGCCCCAGTGCTCGGTGCTTGGAAGTCTCGTGCTTCGTCGTCCACGTGCTTCGTGTGCGCTCAGCCTGGTCTGGCGTCCGCCGCAGCCCAACCCGGTGATTTGGCTCGGGAGTAGCTGAGTAGCAGTGTTCATCTTGTGCTGTCTGCAAAAGTTCACAACATGTTTCTTTGCTCTGATCTGTTGGACTGGAAGTGCATGTGTGTCACAGTGTCCTCAGTGCAACATGCCGCACGAATTATGCTATTATGCGTCATAGCATCTCTTTCGGTATCGATCTCCGTCCAGCACTTTACATACAGGATCGCCATCATCAGAAGTCAAACATGCACTGGTGCCATGACATCTCTGCTTAGCTCAGCAAACTAAGCAGTGCAATTTGAGTCTGGTTGAACCCTTTGCGATGCATTTGCTCCTCGTGCGACATGGCCAGTCTAAGAACAATATACTGGAGGCATCTCACGGTGTAGCCATGTCAGAGCGTGCGAACCTGATCGCTCCCTCCAAAGCCATGACGCTCCAGGCTGAACATGGCGCGGGGAAGGACTTCAACTCCAAAAGATGTGTTGACCCTCCACTATCAGACCTTGGCAAGCTGCAGGCCTTGTTTTTTTCGTTCACTTTGCTTCCGTTTCTATGACCTGCAGCCACCTGTCTGAAGCTCTTTCAGGCACAGCTGCTGGGAAGGCGTTTGGGAGCTCAGCTTCGCAGGCGCGGAATCTCGCATCCACGAGTACCGACGAACAAAGAGAAGTGTGGGTTTGTCCAGGTCGAAGCAGAGAGTGCGGCTGATGTGCAGCAGCATGACGTGCACAACTTACGCAAAAAGTGCCATGCCCGTGCTCCCTGTCAATAATGTTCATGTCTAGTTGTGAGGCGAGCTCTTCAGACAATCCAGCCTTTGGCAGAAGAGTTGCAGTTGCCGGTGACGGTTCACCCAGATGTCCACGAGGTCAAGGCCGTTCAGCAGCTTACCACTTTTATGGGGTTGAGATGGGTTGAGTAGTTTGCAGACCTGTCAGGGCTTCTATGACACGGCTGGCGAGGGCCTGGCCGGGAACAGAGCATCCAGTTCCCCTTTCAACATGTCATGACGCAAGTGCCTGTTGCAGATGCGTATGCGTGCAGTCTCAGGCCCATGGACCCGGAAAGGAGGCAATAGAACAGCGGTTCCAAGGCGCTACTGTATCCGTGAACCAGGGTCTAAAGAGTCGAAAGTTTCAAAGATCAAGACGCGGAGGTGCTGAAGTTTGGTGTCAATTGCCTTCAGGCTTTGATGCATCCCTGATTCCAGAAGGCCAAGGACTCATCGCCTGGGCTGCAACACGAATTTGGCACTTGAAGCTGATGAGATGTGTGCGCAGATCCGCGAATCGAGATAGCCAGGTCGAGAATGCAACATGCCGACCCCGAGCCCCCCGAAAACACACGAACGACAAAGAAATGACGAAGACAGACAGATACTGTAGCAGCAAGAACTAAAGACAACGCACAAAAGAAACACATCCGAGATCATTTGAGGCACTTGCCAGGCACGGAAAGACTGCTTCCCCCGACCCCCCCCACCCCCCCCACCCCCCCCACCCCCCCCACCCCACCCCCCACCCCCCCCACCCCCCCCCCACCCCCCCCACCCCCCCCCCCCCCCCCCCCCCCCCTCCCCCCCCCACCCCCCCCCCCCCACCCCCCCCCCCCCCCCACCCCCCCCACCCCCACCACCCCCACCACCCCCCCCCCCCCCACCCCCCACCACCCCAACCCCGCCCCCCCCCCCGCGCCCCACCCCCCCAGCGCCGCCCCACCCCCCCAGCGCAGAAGGGAAGCGACAAGCACGATACTTGATTCGTAGAAGTGTATGCATGTTACTTTTCACATGAATGGCCCTGAATGGCCCAGAATGGCCCAGAATGGCTGTAGTTTTGGAGAACCCAAGAAGGACCCGAAACCATTGCGGAGGTGCGGGAGACAGTCACAAAAATGTCAGGATGCAAGTTGCAGCATGCAGAACATGCAAGCTTGTTGGCGGCAGTATGCCGCAATGCATGGAAACACGAACGACAATGGATTGCTGAAGTAGTGAGATGTCTTGACTCAGGCTGCAGCTCGAGGTATGCGAATTGTTGAAACGTTGCAGAAGTGGGCTGAGACAAGCTCTGATGAGGACATTGTTCTCTCTGCTACATTTGTCTTATCAATTCCCTGACTGTTGCTGATGTTTTTCTGACAGGATGTAATCGTCCTGGTCTCGCACAATGACTTCTTGGGATTGATCGGGTTTTGTCCTGAAAAACCACCGCAGTGATCCGCTGTGCACATCTTTGCAAATCTGCGTACCATGAGCCGCGCAAGCTTGAGCTGTCGGTTTCAGCGGGATGCAAGGCGACTCCTCCTCTTCCCGCTGGCGGGCAACAATGTTGCTGACATTGGAGCTGCGACCGAGCCGGAGCAGCTTTTCAAAGAGAGCCCCTGGAGATGATTAGTGATGACAGGTTTGTTCCGGTTTTGTGTTCAGCGAAAGCCAGGAAGATGATCTTCCAGCAGTGCACCGTCACAACACTTGTGTTATCGCTTCTTCTAAAACTGTCCACGCGTGACGAGCCTCGGTGCACGCTGGGGTTCAAGGTTATTGGCCGATGAACAACACTGGCATCAGTCACTTCGTCCTTGGTGTGAGGCGGCACTTCCCAATGGCGGACTTGACGTTCAGATGGCAGCATCCACTTCTCCATATGTTATGCATACATACATATATATATATACATATACTCGCCCCCCCCCATGATCCACACATTTGGCCTGGGGAAGGATGTGGATGTGGGGTTTTGGGGGGGACTCCAGACTCCAGATTTCCAGAATGAATTTGGAGTACCCCAGACTCCAGATTTCCAGAATACATCTGGAGTATCGGGGCCTGGACTCCAGAATCTGGAGTCCGCAATCTGGAGTCCGGGGCCCGGTACTCCAGATTTTTTCTGCAAATCTGGAGTCTGGAGCCCGGGGTACCCCCAGACTTCCAGACTCCAGACTCCAGACTCCATCCAGACTCCAGACTCCAGATTTCCAGAATGAATCTGGAGTACCCCCAGGTCCCAGACTCCAGACTCCAGATTTCCAGAATAAATCTGGAATATCGGGACCCTGGACTCCAGAATCTCTTGGTGTCCCGGTACTCCAGATTCACTCTAGAAATCTGGAGTCTGGAGTCCGGGGCCCCGGTACTCCAGATTCTGGAGTCCGGGGCCCCGGTACTCCAGATTCACTCTGGAGATTCACTCTGGAAATCTGGAGTCTGGAGTCCGGGGCCCGTGTTCTCCATATGCACGTTTAGGGATTACGGTTTAGTGTTTTTTGTTTAGGGAAAAGGGTTTGTAGGGTTTAGTGTCTAGGGTTCAGGGTTTAGTGTTTCGGGTCAAGTGTTTAGGTTTTGGTTTTAAAGGTTTACGGTTTACTTTTTAGGGTTTAGGGTTAAGCGACTTGGATAATGTCTAAAACCTTATACTGATTAAGTGTTAAAACCCCTGAAGCACTGAAACCCCTACGTTTTTTTTGGTTTGGGGTTTAGGGTTTAGTGTTTAGGGTTTAGGGTTCAGGATTTGTTGTTTCGGGTTTAGGGTTTAGTGTTTAGGGTTTAGGGTGTAGGGTTAGTATGTAGGTTTCAGAGTTTAGTGTTTTGTGTTTGGGGTTGAGTGTTAAGTTTAGGGTCTAGGGTTTAGGTTTAGGGTTTAGGGTCAAGCGGCTTGGCTCAAACCCTAAACCAAATAAAACCCTAAACTCTGAAATCCAAACAGTAAGCATCTGAACTCTCGTGTTAAGTGTTTGGGGTTTGTGCTAAGGGCTTAGTGTTAAGTTTTTAGGGGTAAGCGTTTAGGGTCTGGTGCTGAGTGTTTGGGGTTTAGTGTTAAGGGTTTCGGGTTTGGTTTTTAGGGTTAAGGGTTTTAAGGATTGTTACAAATGTAAATGATCTGGGCAAGGCACCGGGCCTTCCAAAGAGCTTTTTTCAAACAACTTTTTGAAATTTAAATTGTCTGGGGGAGGCACGGGGGCTTCCCCAGACCATCTAAACTTTTCAAACCCTTAAAACCTTATCAAAATCCTTAGCATTCTGTTTAAACATTCTCAGGATTTTAAAGGCTTTAAAGCCTTTAAAAAACCTTAGAATGCTTAAACATTCAAGTGGCTGCCCTTTTAGGAATTTAAGGATTATCAAAGTTGTCAATGGTCTGGAGAAGCCCCGGTGCCTTCCCCAGACCATGTAAGTTTTTACAAACCCTCAAAACCTGAAATTCTTACAGTTGTAAATGGCTGTCCTTTTAAAGTCTAAGGATTTTGGGATGTTCAATTCTACAATCCGTAACTTCCTTAATTCTAAAACGCTGCCCTTTTTAATATGTTAAGGCATTTTAGAATTTTAAGGGATAAAAGGTTTCAGGTTTTTAGGGCTTTAAAGCCGTTTTAAAATCCTTTGAATCTTGAAAAGTTTGAATGGCTTTAAATACCTTAAAGCCGCATTAAAGCCCTTACAATTTTGAAATGGCTGCCCGTTCAAAAAAATTAAAGACCTTTTTGCCGATTTTTAAAACTTTGAAATGGTCTGGGGAAGCCCCGGTGCCTTCCGCAGATTATCTAAAAAATTAAAAGCCCCTAAAACCCTGAAAAGCCTTAAAATTCTAGATAGCGGCCCTTCTAAAATTTTATTGACACACGTTTCAGAAGCAAAATGCACATAAAAACGCTAGTGTTTTTGCAGGGGATAGTATAATAGAGCTTTTTGTATGCCAGTACAGTTTTATTGCATTTTTCAGAGGAAAAAGCAGAAAACCAGTCAAAGACGAAGACAGGAAAACCATAGGTGTGGATCATGGGGGGGGACCATACATATCTATTTGTATATATGCATATTCATTTATGTTTTTATATGTATACATGAATCGCCGGGCTGCGTACGGAAAAGTTCCTGCACATTTTCCCTTTGATGACAGGCCGCCTGCTGGCGCTTACCAGGTGAATGTCTACATGCATCCTAGCCGCATCGGTGGCGCTACGAAAAGTGCAAACAACTGTTTGCTTCTGCTGCTTTGTCCACGATATCGGGCGTGCCACTTACGATGTTGCTTTTTGGGTAGTGGTTCCGTATCGAACGTGGCTGAAAAGCAGCGCCGAGGCTGTACTGGAACCGCAGTGACCACCTGAGCGAGCACCAGAGGAGTGGAGTCCAGCTGAAGAACATTGGATTCACAGCGTCGGCGGAGTGGGCTCGGGCACCTTGCCTTCCAAGTTCCAAGTTGCTTCCAAGTAACGTGCCATGCTGCAAGGCTCGGTCTGAGCGACAATTGCAAAGTTCGTCTTTCGATTTCTCTGTACATGTCAACCCTAAACCCTAAACCCTAAACACAAAACCCTAAACCCTAAACCAATGGCCTGAACCTTAAACTGCAAGTGATTTGGGCGATGAATCCGTGGAAAGCCGTCGCCGTGTGACAGGTGACGATACCTGGTCTGACCGTGCGAACTGGGGTCGATGTGGTGTGCTAGGTGTTGCTGCAGCTATCATAAATTGATGCCTTCCAGTCCTGGGGGAATCAAGCACGGGGTTTCACGTGAGGGGCGTACACAGGTCAGGGGTCTTCTGCCAATATGGCGGAGAAAAGTGCTACTGACGCAAAGCCTCTCACAAAAATCTCACACACGCACCTGACTCAGCCTCGGGCGCGCCCAGTCTGCGGGGGGGGTCCCCCTATGCCCCCACCAGAATAGAGCCCGCGTCGAACGCATCCGGACTCCAGGTAGGAAGAGGTGGCAGCAACTCTCAGCCTCTTTTTCGCGAGTGTGACGTGGCGCATTGTCCTGGCATTTACCAGGCAAGGCAAAGGAGTTTCTGATTTCGTTCACTGCAGTCCCGTTTTCGCACGCCAGTCCATGACATGTCGAGTTGTGCGTTGCTTTGAAATAAGACCCTGGTGCGGTTGGCAGGGTGCTGCAGCTGCTGCCTGCGTGACAGCGCTGACTGCTGCGCTACTAGGCATCATGGCGCGCTGGAGGTAAAACGTGCTGTCGCGACAGCTTGTGCGCTACTAGGCCACTACTGCGCAAGCTTGTAAATGCTTACTGGTGCAACTTGTAACTTGCCTATTTGACTTACCAGAACCTTCATCTGACATACTTCCTAGGCATGATGCGCGAACAGAAACGCGCACACGGGCCACGGCTCACAGATCATCAGCAAGTCATCTTCGGTTGGAGAGAGCTCAAACCCCAAGCCGCGTCTTTTACGTCTGTACACGCAGGCAAACCAGTGAGACACCCCAAGCCCGAACCCTGTGCTTCTCAGAACTCACCAGGCTTGAGTTTAGACTCGTGTTAAGAGGTAGGGTCGGACAAGGTCCAGAAAGCCGCTAGCCGTTGATTCCGTCATAGGATTAGGGGGGCAACAGTGGTTCACTGGAAGGTGCTTCTTTTCTTGAGGGGGAGGGGTCAATATTGATCCTTTTGAAAGAGAACCTGGCCTTCTGTTGGGGGTCGAGCACACTTCATTAAACACGAAACACACAATGCTACGGAACATATATTCAGGGGCTCGGAAAACAACGGTCTGCACTAGTTTAACGCACAAAGTCAGAAGGTGCCTTGCTGCTGCTTCCAGCTACTGTAGTCAGAAGGGGATTGGGGTGATTTCGGGTTTGGGCACGTGTCACGCACTTGTGCTTTTGTTGGCCTCGGCTCGCCCCTCGTATCTGATGTTTGCGTTTCTCCAGTCTGCCAGGAGCCTGATTCCATCATTTTTTCATCACAGAACGATGTACACATTCGCTGGACTCTGTGAGCTGACCACTTCCGAGCAGTGGCTTGCGTTTGCCTGCGAAAAAGAAACCCTTCCCTTGACACCCGGCCGCCTTTGCTCGTTAGCTACACTAACAACCATGCATGTAGAGGATGTATGCAAGGATCCTTCATCACTGACTAGGACGAAGATTGTGCAGATGGCTTGCCAGCAGCAACGACCAGACAAGATACAACTTATGAAGTGTCAGTTTTCCTGGTGATGATGCGATGGTCGAGACTGGGTTTTCCATAAGGCGTGGTCAGCTCTTCGGCGAAGTCTACTGCAGAGCAGTCTGCAAGTCAAACAGTTGTCGATTCGGACGTTTTCTGCCGTAAAGCTTTCCCAATGCCAAAGAAATGGCTTTCCATCTATGCGAGTTTCTGACAGGATTGAACTCCTTCCGGATGGCGATGTTTGCGGGGTGACTCCGGGACAACACACAGTCCTTGAGGCATGCACCTGATCGCATGGTGAAGTGTTGCTGGTGTGTGGATCTGCTTAAGTTAGGAGCTTGGCCTCTCGAGTTGTCGAACCCTTCCAGGCAGCATCTGGCTCCTTGCTTCACGCTCTACGGCTCAAGGATGCCTTCTTTGCGTTGCGGTGCGGACGCATCCAAACATTCCAGGCTGCTTGCATCCATCTGCTTGCCATGATTCAAAATTCGTCAACATGCAACATGCCGTACGCATAGTCATTCTGACAAGCTTGCTGTGCGGTACGAGCTTTGGACGAACCTAGAGAGAATATTTCGTGCCCAACATTTCAGTCCAACCAGAAATGAATTGACAGCACTCGTCTCTTCTTCCGTAATCATGAGGGCCTTTGGCGGTGTTGCAGGTGTTGTGATTCACCGTTTTAGCAGTAGGCGCTCCCTGTCGGTGTTCCATCTATGCGGCTCACCAACCGTTTCAGTCTGACCAGACCAGTCACTCAACGCGCGACAGGTCTCCCGTCGACTGCCATCAGCTTCGATAGTGAGATACCCGCCTCCTTTCGGACCTCTTTCCGAGGCCTCACGAATCCACGTGCAATGACATGCAATGTGCACTGTGCAACAGCCAACTGGTCGTGAAGTCCAGCCTACAGTCATGGTTCATGTGCTCGTTGCCACAATGTAGCGATGCAGGTCCCCTACTACAGGCTTCACATGTCTTCGCAATACCCTTTAAATCAGAACTACACAGCACGCAGCAAACTACCCCCACATCAGAAGCGAAGGTCAGTTGGTTCGGGGCCGCCAGCATTCAGCATGGGGGCAGATCCGGTCTCGTAAAGACACGGGAGCCATGGGGAGTCAAGATATTGCAGAGTTATTCAGCTGTGGATCAACCCCAACGAAACATGCTAGTGCCTAGTGCCTCTCATGGGTTACTCATTTTCTAAAGTCTGCGCATGCTTCGTATTCGTGCCCTAGCAAGAGATACCCGATAGCCTTGGCATGCTTTGAGCAGAAAGCTGGCGAACGGTGTTTTGGGTGTGTCGTGCAGGTTGAGTGTGCGCAAGCAGGGGCCTCGGATCCATCGGTGCATTGAATGGAGGTACAGAGCTGAGAACTGATTGGCCTGGTCTGAGGTCCTCGAGCGCGCGAAAAGCTTCATTGGCCTAGAGCTGGAGCAGGTCCGAGCGGGTTGGATTGTAGGATTTTCCGAGCTTTCGAGCTTCCCTTTTTATTCTGACGGTATCGGCCCTGCCATAACCTTCGTCTTCTCATGATGGTAGTAGGCTAGGAGATGGTAGGAGAAGTGGTGGGCGTCGTCCATCCAATGCGTATCTCCACACACCTCCCCGAATGCTACACAGTTGCGTCCTTTTTCAGTTTTGTTGCAGGATGTTGCAAGTTCAAAGGAATGGTGGTTTGTCTTACCAATTATCAGTGTTAAGATATGTTAAGTCATGTCCAAGTGGTTCGAGTACGAACGCCTCAAAGGCCGTGGGCCTTGCAGGTCAGAGAACGCCTGCAACAGGCAGGACTACCCGATCAATCTGGCCCGGAGGCAAATCCGTGATCAACAGAGCATGCTGGGAGTGTGCAGACTGTCGGGCAATATTGGACATGAGGTTTTGGCGGAAAGCTTGATAACGTTCTGCATTACTGGCATGTGGCGCGCCCAGAATGTTCCAGTTGTGAAGTTGCAATGTCCGAATTGCACGACTTCTGGGATGTGAAAACACGCTCTTGGCTTTAGGCCTGCCTGCGCTCAGCTTCTGGTTTCGAGTTAGCTGGTCAGACCAACATGCATAATTACTGCCCCCAGACACCGTCCGCGCCCGGATGCCGGTCGGCAGGAGCCAGAGCCAAGTCCATAGGAAGGCTTGAGCCCTGATTAAGAGGCAAAGAGGTGATAGGAAAGACCAAGCAATGGCATGAAGATGTAAGACCCCGATCGTGAAATCCCGAAAGCAGATTGTGCTGGGAAAGCCTCAGCGCGTCCTTGTACGGAGTTCGTTTGTCCAATTTGGTCCGGTCGTCCACACGGTCTTCTCTTTTCTGGGGCTACCAGTAGTTGGAAAAGAACCAGCCCTGCCCTTAGCTACATCCATCAGCTGTGGCCAGGAGGAGAAACTAAGAGGCAGGATGCCAGAGAAGGTCAAACGGAACGTGTGGGAAAGATTGGCGACTCCGATTGACCCTAGCCTATAGTGTCTGGCATCGAATCGTTCTGGATCATAAGGTGCCGCGTATGGCATGTCGAGGAAGCCCACAAGCTCACAAGGTACCAGCTCTCTTGCATTGTCCTGTGCAGCTTGCATGTGTTCTACAGGTGTGTCAAATCACAGGATTGAAGCAACCGTGCTTGCTGGGCTGCTTTGGCCGCATGACTAGGCAGACGACAGTTTCTGTGCCGAAGGCTTCCATCGGGAGGGCTGCGCAATCGCTGATGTGGGATGCCTCCGAAATTCCCCCAAACATGAGACAAGCTGTGCAGGCTCCAATGCTCAGGCTGGCTGTGTTTGATCCCAGTTTGCCAACGAGTCTAGACGTGGTTCGTTGTCGCCTGCTTCTGCTTGAAGGTCTGATGATGTGTCCAACGTCATGGATGACAGCTCAGGCTCACGGCAACCACGTCAGTTATTTGGGACATGGTTGGGACTGCTCGCCTTGAATGAGCCTTAGCCCTCCCCGCCCCAAATAAAATTGAAAGTGAGGTGGGGTACGGGGCTAGCACTGCTTACATTGACGCGGCCAACCTGTTCGTTGTTCAAATCTGAACACCCTGGATCTGGTTTCTGTTGCAGAATGGGGCTGCACCGCCATGCACGACACAGAAAGTAGATGTGTCCACTCATCCTCTTCTCTTTGCAATGGGGGAGGGGCATTGCGTTTCGAGCACCTATTAAAAGATGGAAGTGTTTCATCAAATTAAATACAGAGGAGATCTTCCGACAAAAATGATAGAGGGCCCCCCCTCCCCCCGAAACATACTCATAAACATCTTCACACGCTCCTACGACAGCCACGCACGGCCCTCCTAGTGTACATCCTCCGATAGGTATTTACAGCCCTATTCACAAAAACTTCAAAGCTATTTGAAGCCGTGTCTCGAATGAGGGGTGGCTGCATGATCATGCAGAATCATGCAGAATCATGGGGTTTCTGGAAATATGTTGGCGCATCCTTGTTCGCTCACGAGAGTTCACACCTTCAAGGGGCGACATGCCTGCCAGCGGCAACATGCCCATTTGCATGTCAGTTCGCACAGCTTGGTTTCAGGCAATCAGAACTCGTCTTCGGCACGCTTCAAAGCTGTATTGCCAGGGGACAGAGCCGTGGCAGCAGCTCAAGGGATCCACTCTTTGGAATTGTGTGTGGGGGTTGCATGTGGGTTGCGGCTGGGTCTGCGGTCTAGGGCTCAGTTATGCACTCGTACGATGTGGTGCGGGTTGAGTTGGGCCTGGGTCCGGTCAGAGGATGTTTTGTTTGAGGGTCTGTGAAACTTTACCCTGAACCTGGGCGATCCTGGTCAGGTGCTGGTCAAGATTTGTCTAGGCATGGCAGTGCTGGTTTTCCAGAACTGAGGTAGCTTGAGCAAAGTTCCAGAGAAGCTGCAGGACAGCGCTGTGGCAACTGTAGTCATGTTTGTCATGCTGCGCAAGTATTGTTCTTCCTCCCAAAAAAGAAAGAAAGGACTAGAGGCCATTCACAGACCTGTTTGGAGCACGAGCTGCCTCGCTCGCGCAACGAACGAGCATCTGCACGAAACAAAGCACGTTCAGGCTGATGCTCTTGAAGTTTCAAAAACATTCAAAGACCCCAAACGCCCTGAACCCAGTGCTTCGGACAAACCGAGAGGTAGCAGTGTGGTCGTTGCAGTTCCGGCAACCTTGGACTGTTTCGGGCTTCGGGTTTTGTTCTGCTGACGGGATCTGGGTGATCTTGGCTGGAAATGGCAGGAATGGTCTTTGTGCAGTAGATCTTGGCGCAGTCTTGTAGGGCTGGAAGACCTCCAGCTTTTGCAATCGCTGGTGAGGAGAAGGCGATTTCTACTGCCATTCACGTGGGCTGCCGTGGGTGGGTGGCTCATGTCTGCCCCAACCGTAGAACTTGCTGCATGGCTGTTGAACGACGTAGAAGAGACACAGGTGCTCTTGTGTTCTGTCCTTTGATTCCCCTCATAAGTCTCCCAGAAGCTCTTGCGGTCGGCTGGCTGCACCTCAGGGTGCCGGACAACAGTAGACTAACATCTGCAAGAGTTCTACAGTCCCAGTATAGTCCCATATGCTCATGTTCATGCAGTAGCGCCTTTTGCCCGAGCAGGCTTGTCGTCTTCCGTCGTTTCTGCCTCTGTATGCTTGCAAAAGGCCTGCATCACGAGTTGCTGGAGCTGCGGCGGCCATGACTGTCGAGGGCTATGCGCAGCTCGGGCACGTTTCTCCCCTGTCCGGCATGGGTTTGCTGGGGCTTACAGTCAGCAAAAGGGAATCGCTAGGCTAAAGCATACCATGTTTCCTGCAGTCCTTTCTGTTGTTCCTTGGACGGCGGTTGTATCTGCTTCTTGGCAAGATGGCCAGGCCATGGCCTTTCATGCCTTTCATGGCCTTCAGTTGATGCAACACCTCGGCCAGGCTGTACAAAGAAATTGGCCGGCACTGCGAGTAACTTGGCAGCTTTGAGTGCACGTGCAGCAATCACATTACCTGGCTTCGCCTCCACAGGCAGCTCGAAGTGAAAAAAATCAGCTCAGAACAGTTCACGGCACCGGTCCCAGTGTGCCGACTCCATGTAGCACGCAGTACAACGATTCTCATTGCTTCTTGTCCATCTTTTGCCGAAGGAGAGAATTTGCGAAAGCACGGTGAGCTCTTCTGGCCGGGCTATTGGCAGCCTGGCCGGAGCTGCAGTCGGCCAGGCGGAGCACAGCAAAGCAATTCACTGATAAGCATCAGTGGGATTGCCTTGAAGGCCTCGATTCCTGTTCCGGTGGTTGGTGCGGTGATCGGAGGAGTTGCAGGCAGATGCAGCGCATGAAATTCAACATGGTACCTGTGGGCACAAGCATTCGTTGGGTGATCCACGCGGGCATTGTGCCGAATGGCTCCCATCCCGGAGGACGCGCCAGGTTGTACTAGCGCTTAGAAACCCCACATTCAGCGATGTTGACTTTGGCGGCGGGTGGGGTAGGTGCGGCTTGCGGTGGCTTTTATGCCAACAGCCTGGTTCGTGGTGCTTGGCGTTTGTCAGGCCAGTCACTTCCACAGTCACATCAGCTGAGAGTAGTTTTGTTGCAATACCAAAAGCGCACGAGACGCAGATGATTTACAGGTGGCAAGGCCAAAGGTGGCGACGATATCGTCAGATGTGACAGCCCTGCATGTTTACTCATGTTCCGAAATGGGCTCCAGATCTGCTGGAATAGAAGGCGCATGGCGTATTCATGACATGCTGACATGCTGACAGCGTATTGAACAGGTGGAGCACTCCGCCGACAACTATCACAACAGCCCTCGAACCTTCAACGAGGCTAATTGCAATTCCTGGTCGCATCTATTGCAGAAGGTTGCACACTCGATGCATACGTACTTTGAGCCGAACTTGCGCGGCGCTGGCTTCGCCTGTACCATTGTTCTCCCTAAGCTAGAAATGCATGAGCCAGGCGTGTTCGTTTGTTCTACAGTCTGCAATGTCAAAACATGTCATCCTGATCTGTACAGCTTTTGGACGCAGTCCAGGCCCTGATCGACCAGCCGAAGCATTTTGGTTCTGATGCCCCTCGGTTTTGGAAGGTGATGAAATTTTGCCAGTGCCGAAGAATCGCGCAGCAGGTCCAACCTGCTTAGCAGGAGGGCTGTGCTAGAAAAAACTGGTTGGCCAGGTGTGGTTCACTGATACTGTTCTGTGAGAAGCCTCGAGCAGAAACCAACCAAAACAAGACCAAATAACCCAGATGGCAGCGCGCCAAAGCAGAATCGCATCATGGATGAAGGCAGCAGCCATCGTTCAGTTTTTGTAGCTGCACCACTTGCGCACAGCAGATCACAGCACTCTGCGCGCATCATGTGCTCTAGCTGTAGGCGCTCTATCAGTTGGGCTATCGATTGCATGGAGGACTCATTATAATCAGCAAGTAGTCATCGAAACTCTAACTCAGAGTTTTTGATGAAGGCGAGGCCAAATTTGCATCTAGATTAATTAGCACCAATTACGTGACGCGGAAGGTTGACTCAAAGGCTGTTGCCAGAAGGCGCGAAAAAAATCTTCTATATCCTGGGCCTGGGAGATTGTATGTCTTGTGTTGATTCTCGGCATTGGGACGATCGCTGCAAGCAGGTGTACGGTGTACGCTACTGAAGGGCATTCGTGCAAATGGTAAACAGGTGCGGCTTGCCGACCGTATCGGAGTGCCCTTACTCACGACCAGCGCTTTTGCAGAATAACTCGCCGGTACACACTAACCACAGCAGTTGTGGGTGCCAGCTTCGCTGGACGAAGTGCCAGCGAGCCTTGTCCCTTTCTGATAGGACACTATATTGCTTGCCTCGCTCCAAAAACAAATCGGCGATTCTGTTTATGGAGATGAAGAGTTTACACACACACACACGCACACAAAAATAGACGCACATGCAGGCAGCTGCACACACACCCACACTTTTTCAATGGGCTATGCTGACACTTCAACCCCAGCCACCGACCTCTGTTGTGTTCCCGCCATGCAAGGACGGCGCGTGGCCCGACCAGCGGCAAGGCTCGTCAGAAGATTTCCTTTGAATGCCCAGGCCAGCGGCTTTTGGTTTTGGCAGTTGTGCCTGTGCAGCCGTACGTAGCAAAGCCTTACGGCAAGATCAAGGACCACGCAGCTGAAGATGATGTCATGATGAATAGATGTCGTTTGTCAATCGGCTTTGCATGCTTTGTTCAGTTTACAAATCGTGTGCTTCAAATAATTTCACCATAGCTTGCGAAGGCTGTAAAGTATATGTGTTGTCCATCGCAAAACGATTCCTCCGCACTTGGCTGCTGCGTCTGCAGTGGCGGATGCGGAAGCGATCCACCCAAAACACATCAAGTTTCTGTCTTTTGCCAAAGTTGCAGCCTTTCCACCTTGTGCTTTGCGAAAAATTGGCTGGCCTGCTTGCTTTGCTTGGAGTCTTGGTCACCGAGTTGGATCAAATAAATGCCCGAACATAGGCGCAAATAGAAGTATGCAGTGCAGCCACAGCCCACAGTTGACCCGTCTTCCTTCCGGCTCAGTGTGGTGTGGGTCCAACATAAGACACATTTCGCATGCAGGATGGTACAAATCCGATCCAAAGCCGCGTAACATCGCTTTCAGTCCTGACGGACCATGGTTTGTAAGTCGACGAACTGCTAGAGATTCCGACATGAATGCCTCCCGTGCCATAGTTCGCCTTGCCTGCTTGGTGCTGCTTTGCACAGTTGTCAGACTAAGTTTCCTCACAAGTTCAGCTTTCGCGTCTCCATGCTCTCGCCCCTCAGGGGGGCTTTCAGTTCCGGCATTGCATGCAGAGAGTTCAGCATTGCCGAATCCTAAGCCTCACAGATATGGTTCCTGCAACTTGGCATTGTTGGCACTTGGCCTGAGTGCACTGGCTTTGAGACCACAGATGACTAAAACGACGCGAGTGCAGCGCTTTGCCGGTTTCGGAGGAAGTGGCTTGAGTGGAAAGTGGGGCTGCTACAAAACAGAAGGAGACATCGATGGTTATTGGAAAGCCACTGGCTTGCCATGGCTGGCCCGGAAGGGCTTGCAACTCATGGACTGGGGCGCAGGAAAGAACCAGAATATTCGAGAATTTTCGCAGAAAGCAGACGACATTGAGATGGAGTACTCCTTCCAGGGGCCCGGGCTCGGAGCTTTGGGCTTCACGGAGAAGTACAAGGTTGGCAATGGAACTCAGGTCATCACCCGCATGGGTGGCGCCAAGATCCTTGTCGATCCTGTTTGGGAGTCAGACTCCGTATTGCGTGTTACGTGACTCGACGGAATTCATATGCGGATCATGCCTAAAAAACAGGTTTTTTTTGGCATCGCTCGTTTGAGCTTCACAGGAACATGAGTCCGGCGAAACAGACTCAAGGCTGGACAAAGTCAGTGCTTGGAGGCCGACGGGCTGCAAGAGGATCAAGAAAGTTGTTTCACATCGTTTTTTGGCGTGCTGCCTGAGTATTGAGGCAGCAAAGACGAAGATGCCAACCGAGATGCGAGTGCCAGCGAGACGACTGATGGTGGAGAAGTGACCTGCTTGCAGTATGACAGCGCATCTCCTGACTGAGGAGGGTCTGTAGACATTTGTGTGCAAGCTGGCGGCCAGAATATGATTAGAAGATATTATATGATAATGAATCATCGGTCTGGACATGAGGCACACGCCAACCGAGCAGTGATGGAACATAGAACAAAGATGTCTGTGAATCCAATAATGATGCAATGCATGTGAGCTACGAATTGCGGGCGAAGTCTTAACTGAAGCCCTGTGCTGCGACGTAAGCATTCGCAAGTTCCTCGCCATGCAGTCGAAAGCAGGAATCTTGCATGGGCGGAACAGCCTCTCGATCGCTTCCGTCTCTAGCTGCGAGTTGATAATCGGGTATCAGAGAGCCATGGGTGAGGTCATTGATGTTCACCGGTTCTACATCGAAGAGGCAGGCTTCGGCCAAGGGTTTGTGTCTGGCTGTCAGCTCCCTGCTGGCGAACTGGGGAGGACAACCTCGTCCTCGAGGCGGATTCGTCACCATCTGGAGGGCCAGTTGTGAAATGGATCCTCCGCAAACTCGAGTAGTTCGCAGGATGTATGTTTTTTACTTACTTGGAGTCTAGTTTCCAGTGTTCAGATAATCCTTGGCCAATCATGAGAAGGGTGCTATGGCTCTGTGTGGATGTGTCTCATATGCCATCTAAGATGGTACAAGGGCATTTCCAGTGAATGGGGCAGGGGTTGCAAGACGACTCCCTCCTTAGCTCATGTTCAGCTCCTAGAGAATGCTTCTTGATCTTCTTGCAAGTACTGCAAATTGCGATCCTGAAGCCTCGGCACCCTTCTTGTTTGTTGCCACGGTTTTTGTCACGCGCGGCGCTTGTCGGTGCAGCTTACTGGAGAGGTTGCCCAACAGAAAGAGGCTGCGTCAGCAATGTTGCAGAAGAGAGAGAGGGTTGCTTTCAACTTTCAACCGTCGGCCAGAGTATACATTGCTCATGTCGCCTCACCGGCTTCGTCCAACATAAGGAATGCTTGCAAGTCTGGATCAAGGGCCGCAAGGGAAGGGGCCCTCTTGGCAAGAAGTCCAGGGTGTGGAGTGGGACGGCGCAACGAGTGCAATGGCTCTTGCGTTCGTGGTCCCAGTATCAGCCTACCCAAAAGTGACACAGTGGAAAAGAGCAGAAAGTCAATGGACGCCGGGTTACCTGCACGGTGGTGGGCAGAGTGTCATGGCATTGACCATGGCAACATTGACATTTGCTGGCAAATTGAAGCCTCACAAGAGGCCCGTGCCACACTCCAGCACTAACATGCTCAATGCTGAGACGGCTGAAGCCCACGAAGGTCAAAGCAGTAACGCTTACGCATACAAGATGGTGAAGATCTGCCTGCTGATCACTTTGGTGCCGTTCCTGTTCTCCTTGGGCAACTACTCTTATGATCGAGCTCTAAGTGACTTTGATGTCGAATACGGGCCACACCTATCTCATCCAGCACTGCGAGCCACCTCGAGCATCCAGGCCATTCTGGTCTTTGCAGCGTTGTTGTGGCGCGAAAAGTACCGCAGTGATCCTATTGACCGACTCTTCGCCTGGCTTTTCGTGCCAGAGGCTGTGATGCACATCGTGCTGCACTTCTTCAGCCATCACTGGCCCTTCGCTAACTTTGCCTTCGCATATGATTTCAGTGCCGGAATTGCACTTCCCGGATTTCTTTCGCTTCTGTGCTATGTACCGAAGGAGAAAAAATTGCCATGGCTGTATCTTGCCTTGTATGTGGCGACACAAATCCCGATTGTTGCTGGCCTGACAAACATGGTAGGCCCCGCAAAAATGAGATTGCACTATGCAAACATCAACACCGCGTTCATTACGACGCCGTTTTTCTACGGCATCCTCAAGCGGTGGAAAGATGTTCCAAAAAGTCCAGTGATACTTGCTACATTGACCATTACCTACCAGGTCACAATGGGAATCATGGGCCCGATCACGGGAGGCACGAATCTAAAGCTCTATGATCCGTCCTGCATCTTTCAACATGGTGTTGTCGACATTGGCTTCGGGATCGCGTACGCAGTTTCGATCCTTTGTGGTGTTTTCAAGCCCGGCGTTCCGAGACCTACATGGGACTGAGAGCATCCGCGACGAAGGCTGTCAACAGGCCTTCACTATGTTTCGATCATCGCAGCACAGGCATGCAGAATATCGGCTGAAAGGGTGCTGCTGGCGCGGTAAAATGTGCGAGTGGCGAATCTTTGTCTCCGTGTCCTGTGAGCACCATGCAGCCCTTCACACTGTTGCTTTCACAACATCTGGGCTGCGAAGAGCTGCAGCTGAGTAGCTGAGTAGCAAACCTCAACGAACTGCAGCTGACTCCCTTCAGGCCCTCTAGTTCGCTACAAGGTCGAGAGAGGAGTAGGGGGGCCAAGCAGATCGAGTTGGGAGAGAGCGATGGCGATGCCCCGCGTCCCCGAGTGCGAGGCCTGGGCCTCACAACGGAGAGAGAGAGAGAGAGAGAGAGAGAGAGAGAGAGAGAGAGAGAGAGAGAGCGAGAGAGAGAGACAGAGAGAGAGAGAGAGCGACAGTTTGTGGGCGTGTGTGTTGTGTGCCCTCTCCGAGGTCTGCAATGAGAAGGTGGTTCTACCACCCCGCTTTGAGGCTCCATGTGCCTCGTGTGGAAGGACCGCCTTCCAAACATTGTACAACGGCTTGTCTTCCTTGAATTGCAAAGAGACAGAGCCGTACGCAAATGGAATTCTTCCGGCGAAGCACGCTCGTCACCAAGGCCACAGGTGCAATAAACCTCGCCCCAAACTCTCCAAAGCGAACGAAACGTCCCCGAAAGAGGAGGAGGCTTTCTGTAGGGGCAATAACTCGGTTCTTGCTCGATTGTCCGAAACTCCGAAAAACATGGCCCAAAAAACTGCCCCAAGACGCAGTCGACCAACCTCTCAAATGGAAGTTGGGAATCGGAAGTTGAGGCTGCAGTCAAGAAATTCTCGCGTGGACAGCTGCCAACAGCTGGTTCGATTTCGATCTCGGTCGGATGTGCTTGGGCGCTTGGGTTGGGCGCTAGGCGAAGCCTGGCAGCTCGCCAGGCCTTGTAACCTTTTGGGGGCTGTGGTGCAACAGTTCAGTCGACGTGGTATGACGGGGCACTCTTGGGGCCTCTCCCGGTTTGTTCGGTCTGTTCTCGGGGCCTCAAGTGTGAACTTTTTTGTTTGCACAAAGTGCACAAAATGCAGGCGTGGAAGCGTGGAAGTCAGACATCTCCTGTCTGTGCAAGCATATGGACGCCTGAAGCATTGGCTAGCGAAACGGTATGTGCAAAATGTAGCTCATCAAATCGGATGCTATGGTCTTCGTCTTTTCATGCTGAGACTGCGGTGGTGCTGCTGCATCCCCTGATGTCGTGTCCTGTTTTTGGATTACATAGTGTTTCTGTTTTTTGTTGGGGGGGGGGGGGGGTTCGTTCTTCGTTCTTCAAAACGTTCGGGACATTAGCTGTCCACTTTCACATTAGCATGTTTGCAGGATTTGCCACTGGGAGTGTACCAGGGCCTATTTGCAGACGCAGAACGTGGCATCTTTCGAGGACTGATTCGCATAGAACACTAGCATCTCGAGTGACACTGTGTTGAATTGGATAGCCTAGTAAGTGTGCACTGTGCGCCGCGTAATGCCGCATGTCTCAGGATGGCACAACGCGCTTGATTGATTGCCCATGTGGCAAGGCAGCGGTTCGCTTATCTTATATTCTGTCAGACATCGGTACTGTTTCTGGTGCTGGAAGTCCAGACAGTACGCCTATGCAGAATTCACAGAGTTTGCTTCACAATATGGGATGCTGCACACAGAAATACTGCAGGGATGGGTTCCCAGTCTGTCAGGGTGTCTACGCGCCTTGCTGCGTTGTGTGCGGCCTGAGCTTGCGGCCACCAACTCCCGTGCTGCAGATTCTTGGCCTAGCTTAGTCATCAGGATTGAGGGCTGCACTGTTATGTGTGCAGTTTTTCGCCTCTCTCCAACCACGCTCCATCAGGACTTGCGCGCCCCCTTGTGGGCGAGTCTTGGCGCACAGATCTTGCATGTCGACTGCGGGGGCCTTGACGGTGCTGAAGACAAACGCCATACTCGTACCCCGGAAGTGCCGAAAGATGGGCGGCGCTCGTGGGATGTCTAGGAATGGGGCATGCAGACTTTTGAATTGTAAGCACCATCCAGCAGGTTCTTTGTAAGGCATTCAATGCCCACGAACGCATCCACGCACACATACATACACCGCAGTGATACAATCAATTTATCAGGCAAATCAGGCACCGTCCCGATAGCTACCTTTTGGGGGTTTCAGCTTGCCTGTAATCGGTATTCATGTTTTGTCAAAGGTATGGTTGACCTTCAGAAATCGCATGTCTTCAATCCGGAGGTTGTAAACATTAAGTTGCAGAAGCATGGAAGATTTCTGAGAGCTTTTCCATCGGACGTCTTCAATGCAGAGCCTTCAAACCTGTAAAGACTCCGGATTGAAGATGGGTTTGTTGGGACGTAATTTCCAGACATCATCCATCGCCAACCCGAGTCAAGCAGGAACTTCAAGAACTTTTAAACACTCCATTTTGAACATTGAAGATTCGTAGAAAGAGTTTTCCAACTCTCTTCAATCTTCAGTCCGGAGTTTGTAGTCATTAGTTTTGAAGGTTGTAACAGCCATCTGGATTGAGGGTTTGAGACAACTCTTACGAAGAACTCAATTGCTGAAAAATGTCTACTTTCGCAAAACTCAAACACAACAACGGATAGGGATCTCTGGAGGGAGGGGGTCCATGTATTGACTGCCAAAGCCGCCAAGGGGGGCGGCGCCAGTGGGGACTGAATCGTGTTGCGAATCAGTTTGGATCTGGAAACCTCTATCGAACCTGTTGCATCCAAAGTCATGGGCTGATGGGCTGATAGGCAGGAAGCCTTCTCCAAATGGTAGATCTATGGAGGAGCCATGGCATTTCGAGCACCGATGGCATCCACTAACGTTGCTTGCCACACTCTTCCCTACTTTCTCGTCCGGAAGAGCTAATTCATGTCGCCTCACATGCTCCGCCTCCCCACTTGCCCTGCTTGCCTCACTAGGGTAAGCTAGGCAATGCCGCTGGCGCAAGTTGAAGGATAGTCTGCCGCACTTATTCTCTCGAATTCTTGAGGATCTTTTACGAGGCATCCGCCCCCCCCGGCCGCCCCGCTCTGGGCCCTAGTCTCCCGTCACCCGCCTTTCACTGGGCTGATCGTGAGGCAGATTTTCAATTGAGGCACACGAAATACCTTGTCCAGAGGTAGGTCCAGCCGCCGCGAAATGAGGGCACCCGTCGTGTGTTCATTTGGGCTGTTCTTTCTGTGCCAATGGATGCCTCTGTATGTACATCCTTAGGCTCTCTGCTTGTTGCTCAGGATTCGTTTGTGGAGTTGAAGTTGCTCCTGTTTGCACGGGAGGCTTGAGTGACAAGTCTTGGGAAACCATTATATAGTTGAGACCCCTGGCACTAAGAAGGTAGCATGATTTAGGCTTTGCAGGGCTTGGGGTTTCCCCTTTCCGGGCTTGGGGGTTTTCGGTTAAACCCTAGCAAAGCCGTAGCCTTATGACAAACCCGACACCCCGAAACCTCGAAAAAACGGAGAGGTGGAGCGACGGACTCAAGCAGATCTAGGACCGTCTAGGACTTATCTTGCAGGAAGGCAACAGACACAGGCCGTCCTTTTGGGGACGTCAATCAACTCACAACATCAGAGAGGTTTTCGCAGCGATGCATCATCGATTGCCCTCTCCAGATATATTGCTTTGCACTGTGCTGCGAGTGCGTGGAGAGGGAAGAGAGAGCGAGAGCAGTCAACATGTTCCAATGCTTCCTAAACTGTTGATGACAGAATATGCGATTCCTGGTGTCTGGCACGACGGTGACGCCGGAAACAGGGCCCTTAACCCCAAACCAAACCATTCCATTCCTCGAGTCTGGAACTTGCGACAAAAACCTGAAAAAGTATCCCTATGAGGGCCAGAAACTTAGCCCGCAACGACGACAGAGAACAGTCAACATGTTCCGATGCTTCCGAAGCTTATGATGTCTTCGGGGATTTCGTGTTGGGGTCCGCCCCATTCTAGGGACTGTGCGTGTGTGTGTGTGTGTGTGTCTGTCTGTGTCTGTGTGTCTGTGTGTCTGTGTCTGTGTCTGTGTCTGTGTGTGTGTGTGTGCGCGGGTGGGTGTGTGTGTGTGTGTGTGTGTGGAAATCTAATCTCTTCTTCTTTCTGTTTTTCTGCAGGGCGCAGGGGGGCGCAGGGAACGTTGAAGAGTCCCGAAGACGCTTCATAGTTCGTGGAAACGTACCTGCAGTGGTGCACCTGGACGACGGAGGTCATAACTGGTGGTCACAAAGGAAGTCGGGCACTTTTCGTTTTCATCACAACCAGGTGTTTCCAGGCCTGTTGTGGCATCTATCAAGTTTTTCATGAGGGTTGCAAAAGCAGGTGTTAGGCAGTGAAGAGCGATTAGGCACATGCATCCGAAGCTTCGCTGTGCTGCAGTAGTCTGTCGTGCGTTGCACTGTGCTGCAGGTGAGAGGAAAGAGAGGAGCGTGTGTGTGTGTGAAGCCAGTAAACAGAAGACAGCCGTTGAGTTTTTTTTGAATGTCATGGATTTCTGTTCATCTGTTGTGTGCGTCCTTGCACCTCGCAAAAGCATTGTCATTCACGATTCTTATGGTTTTTGGGCTTTCTCACAAAAACCATTGAACGACAAGCTCTGCATGCAGCTTTGAAAGCAAACAGTGCCGATTTTTGCAGAGGGGCTTTATATTGAAAACACGTCAGGGTGGATCACAGGGTGACCACTGCTGTGTCTTCTCCGAGGCCCTGAAGTTTGGTGCTCGACGAGACTGCCAACTGTGCAGGACATGGAGTCGTGATCACGTCGCTTGTACGCTGCATGTGTGTAGGAAGTTGCGATTGCAAGTGAAGAGACAGCTGGAATTGAAATATAACAGGAAGCCATGGATGCTGTGATGCTGCTGTGAGGCCGAGAGAGACTTGCCGAGTGGCCTGTTCGTTGTACATATTATTTCGTGCATTCAAAAATCGAGTGGGGCTTTAGTGGCAACGCCCAGATCATCGGTATCTGACCTGTTGAGCTGTTGCGCGTGCACGGGTGCTTGAGCAGAGCCACATAGCTAAATAGCAAAGGGTTTGCTGACCATGAACCCCTCTGAGCCATGACAAACCTCTGAGATCTCCTCTGAGCCATGACTTGGTCACCGCCACCTGAGCGCCTGTGCAGCCACATGCAGCCACACGGGCAAGACAGCCCAAATTCAGCTTTGCAACGTAATCGACAAGTTAGAAGTGGGATTTCTTGACGGCGCGGCACAAAATTCTCAGCATCGGTTCGTCCGTCCGATGGTGTGATCTTCAACTTCTTTTCTATGTGTTTATCACGGAATGTGTCCCTTTGGGCTCCCTTTGGGCTCTTCAGGGTGCGGGCGTGGGGGAGATGTCCGATTGCGACAGCAGAATACCAGACGTGTTCCAAAGATCCACAACTCATATTGCACGATGTCCAGCCTTTTGCCAGACTAAGACCTAAAGGATTTTAAAGGAGTCCTAAAGGACCTAAAGCCCAGAGTCACGTGAGAGATCCCCACGCATCTGGCGGCCTGAAGTCCAGCCCTCGGCCTCACATCTCGGCGTTGGCAGTTTTGAGCGTTTTGCCACCGAACGAGTACTGCTGCTTCATTTGATCCCGCTGGTTCAGCTGGTTTCAAGGAAGTTGTCATGGCGCCAGCAGAGACAGACAAGGAAAGCCTGAGAAGACAATGTGATCGAGTTGGTGTTCTCATGTTACTTTGGGTAACCATGCAAGCATTGTGTGTACTGTGCAGTGACGGCTTTGTCGTGAAGACCGCAGATTGCTACATGCAGATACGGATGAAGAGCAAGTTTTGCAGTGGCAATCTCTGTCCAGCTTCGAACCGGGGTTCTTGTCTTGACGCCAGGCTACAGAGAAGGAGCTTCAAAGGATACGCCGGTTGCCGGAGAATCGGGTGCGCTGGAACTGTGAGTCAACGCATAAGCAGTGCCTGGGGCCACAAGGTTGTAGAAGGGCATGGGAATTGTAGAGTAAGCTGCGCATGAGTACATATATGGGCATACGCTGGTGAAGGCTTCTGAGTGGGCCACGTGGTTTCTGCAACCATGCAGCACTGCGAAAAGAACATTGGCCTTGCAGGTGTGCCCGAACTGTTTGAAGGAGGAAAGCCTGGGATTTAGTGCAGTTTGCACGACGTTCAAGACGCAACAGCCTGAGTTGTGCGTTCTCTTGTAGATCCCGAAGCTTGCCGCAGCGTCCTGCAAGTTGAACAGCTGAGGTTCATCTGCCATGACTGCAAATCTGCGCATCAGAGTTTTTCACATCGGTGCAAGAGCATCCAGATGAGTGTATGGACCTTGGATGAGGTCAAGGTGGGCAGAGTGTTGCTGACATGCGAAATACGTTATTTCAACCGCTGGGATACTGCACTCCGCCAGGCTCTGGACGACTGCAACGGCGGCGGAAATGCTGCTGCTGTGCGCAAGTATCTCAGAAAAGTCACGCCGAAAGACCGCGTGAAGCAGGCGGCGAGCCGATTTATCTGACATCTCCTTCATTCCTTGAATGCTATCCGGGGTCCAGAAGCCGCGGGTGTAGATCCGATCTTCGTTTTCTCTGTTAGGCGAACAACGAGAAAGTCTTCGTTGTTTTGCTTTGTGCTTACGGTTTCTTTATTGGTCTCTGTTTGACTTTGTTAGACTTTTCATTTGTTGTATTTTGTGGTTGGTTACCAGAGGTAACAATAAGTAGAAATACATGACATGTAACTGCAATAAATCTGTTTGGCAACTTCTTCCTTGTACAGACTCAATTAAAAGTTTGTCTGTCAAATTTGGTATATTGCGTATACAAATATATGTATATATATAAATTCATATACATATATATATATGACTTAAACTTCTTTTCGTGTCGTGTTCACTTGTTGTCTAGGAAAGGCGATATACGTATATATGCATACACATGTCAACAAACAGGTTTTGGGTGATTTTCAGAAAGTTTTTGTACCCCAAACTCTACACCCTAAAGCAGTCCTGTTCGAGGTGTTCAACGTTGATATCAATTTCAAAGGTCGAATGTTGGAAGAACTTGGAAATCTGGAAAAACCACAACAACAAAGAAAACTTTTTTCTCGGACTCTTCCATCAGAGGGCCTAATTTGCAAGACACCCATTATTGTCATTTCTTCGTCTTGCGTTCAAGCATGGGTTTTCGTGGGAGGAAAAATAGCAGCAATGTGCCCGCCCTCCCGTGCTCACGGTGCCTTGAGCCAATGAGAGACAGCTATTGCACGCTCGACGTCTGCTTTCCCTGGGTATGTCCGCTGTGTCAAGAACATTACACGAAACAATGCATTCTTCAGTGAGACAGAACATGCGAGAAGGTATTGTCAACGTAGTCTTTCTTGTATTTGTTGAATAAAGCTACTGGCATAAAAGTGAAGATGTAATCATCAAGGTGAGCCCGCATTAGAAGAATCAGAGTTGCACAAGGAAGTTGCGCTGGTTTGAAAGGCTTTCTTTCGTAAGAACTAAACCTAAGTCTATCGCTATCGGTGGGAAGCCACTTTGTTAAAGTCCCCTGTTAGAGATGCTGATGTCTTCGCATTGTGTTTGCCAGTCTCAGAACAGAGCACCAATCATTTCAGCACAATAGCGGAAAAAGGGCAACAGAAACAAAAGAATGAAGAACAAGAGAGAGGCAAAAGCAATAACAACACACACACACACACACACTCATGGCCTCAAGCAACATAAACAATACCCAGAGCTTGGTAGTGTCGCCGTATGTTGGACTACAGATATTCCCAATGGGATAAACAACAATGGAACATTAGCAGTTTGGGTATTCTTGCATATTTACGAGCGAAATCAAACATAAACAAGTGCACTCCCGCAGTCCCCCGGACGCTAAATCTAGATATTATGTACATGTATATACGTACATGTATATATGTATATATGTATATATGTATATATGTATATGTGTATATATGTATATATGTATATATGTGTATATGTGTAAATGTATATATGTATATATGTATATATGAAAAAATGTATATATGTATATATGTATATATGTATATATGTATATATGTATATATGTATATATGTATAAATGTATATATGTATATATGTAAATATGTAAATATGTATATATGTATATATGTATATATGTATATATGTATATATGTATATATGTATATATGTATATATGTATATATGTATATATGTATATATGAAAAATGTATATATGTATATATATATATATATGTATATATGTACATATGTATACATGTATAGAAAAAAAATATATGTATATATGTATATATGTATATATGTATATATGTATATATGTATACGTGTATGCGTGTGTATGTATGTATATATGTATATATGTATATATGCATTCTCGACATCTCAACCTCAGTTTGCCAAATTCAAGTTTAAATTTACAAGTTCCAATGTCCAAATTCCAGTTCCAGGTTTCAAATTAGTGGTGGCCTATGTCCATAGGACTTCAACAGCCAAAATCCAGATGTTCAAATTTGCGAGGCCTATGCAGTAAAGGACATGGTTTTAGACACATGGGCCTGATCAAATTTGGAAGTTGAAGTCCTGTGGACGTGGACCCTTAAAAATGTGGAGATTTGGAATTTGGAATTCGGAGCCACTTGCCCCGCTTGCCCCGCTTGCCCCGCTTCACTTGCCCCACTTGCCCAAGCAGCAGGGATGTTCTCCTGGGGCAAGTGGGGCAAGTGGGGCAGTTAGCTTTTCCGGGCCCCCAAGTGGGGCAAGTGGGGCAACATCAATTAGCTATTCCAGAAGGCAAGTGGGGCAAGTGGGGCAATTTTAATCATCGGTCCGCATGGGCGCTCGCAATGAAATATCGGCTTTCCCAAGACCGAGTTTGGAATTACAAAATGTAGTTTCTGAATTTGGAATGTCGGATTTTTTCAAGTTCAGGTCTTTAAAAACATAGGCCCTCGCAGATTTGCAAGTTTGACAATCAAACTATGTCATTCTGGAATTGAGGTCAGCTCTAGTGTTGAAATTGTTCGACTATTTAAACAAGCTTGTGGGTTCAAAGAAATTGAATTGTAGAACTAGGATTATCTCAACTCCTCACGTAGCTTAAAACGGTTCGAAATGTTTAACTTATTTACACTAGTTTTTCAAACATGTGAAATCAAGCAAGACATTTTAACCGTTTCAAGTAAATCCAGGACACGCAAACCATACACAATGCAAGTTTAATTGGGGTCCAGTCAATTATTCTAAAGCCTCGACCAAACCCTAAACCTTTGCTTTTAACACCAATCCCCACAACACCTGAGCCTTCAAGCCCTACGGTAAAGACCCCTAAACCCCAAACCTTCTGCTTGCAGGTCTACATCGTCTTCTTCGACTTCATCGAAACAAACAAGCCTGAACTTCAAGCGATAACGGAAACAAAAAGTGAGCACTTCGAACACAACCCGAAACAACACTTAAACTTCAAATGAATGCCGAAGCGGCAACTTTTAGAACAACTTAGCAGCTGTTTTTTGAAGTTGTCGTTTGTCTTTATCTGTCTGTGTTTGTCTCTTTCTGGCTTTTCATGGCTTTATCTTGTCTTGATTTGTCTTTGTATGTCTATACATGACACTTTCGCTGAAAACAGCCCTGTGCGGATCTAGACCTTGACATCTGCTGCTGCAGGAGCAACACGGAAGGAATCGGAACAATAGACCGCTTTCACATTTGCATTCCGCACCATGCCAGGGCAGCACCCTGGAGCTGTACAAGCGTTTCATTCAGCCGCTGGCCGAGCGCCCCTGAAGGTTTTTCAGATGATTTCAGATGACATCTTTTCAGGCGAGCTTATGTTGACCAGCGATGGGCCGATGATGAGCCGGAAGTGCTTCCAGCTGAGGCAGAAGAAGCATGTCAATGCAGCAGCGATACTTGTTCATAGTTGTTCTTGCAGTCCGGCAGCGTTGTTCAGCTGAGCTTCCATATGTGCTTCCGTAGCTCACTGCTAATGCCTGGGTGAGGCGCCTGAAACACCAGCAACACCAGTGCTTGCGCCTGACAATCGCTCATGCGATGTTTGCACAGAGCATTTGAATACGCAGGCCCTTAAAAAACCTCGCATGCCGCATCACGTGACATGGTGCCAAGGGAGGAACCTAAGCGACGTTCCAGGCTCAATTCTCGCTGGTAGATCTGCACATGCTTTGCGTCACCTCACTTAACAATTATTTACAAGCTTCGCAAGCTTTTTTTAAGTGCAGGAAGGACCGCCATCGCCCGCGCCCCAGGATATGCCCGATTTGGCTGAGGGTATGACAAAGTCTTGTGTGATGCCGGTAGACCTGCTCCATCTTGCTCCTGGCACCAGTGTTTTACAACAGACGCATCACAACAGGCCAGAACGCTGAAACTCTTCAAAGTAGCAGGGTGAGTTTTGGGGTTGCAACTGGGACTTCTGTCCCCAAAGAATGTGGCAAATGTGGCAAATGCGTTTCCAACGTTCAGGGTCAGGAGGATTAGGTTGAGGTTACCGCGTGGCGCGCGTGGCCGGGCACGTGGCTGTTGCCGAAGCATGGCAGTCGTTCTGGTCCAAATTGTACTCTCATTCAGGTGGCCAAAACTGATTGTTTTCATCCTAAAGAGAAAAACAGACAAGGTTCCGGCGTTCGCTTTGTGAGTCATGTGCATCCGGTCCAAATGAATTACAGCAAGTATCACTGTCACGAGACAGCAGTCCAGGAGAAAAAAGGCATGCACACGGGAACAATCAAAACTCAATCCCAACTCGGCTCGGCCTTTTTTGGGTTATCAGGCTATCCGACGGCTCAGGCCTTGTTTTTGTTTTAGAGATGTCTTTCAGGCCTCCGTTCGATTGGGGTAGACAAGACCCATCGACGCCAATGACGTGATATACACGCATTTAGTTGCCTTCAATAATTGAGGTACTTACTTCTGTCTGTGTAAACTGAACAGCCTTGAAGTCGAGGCCCTTTTAAGGCTTTTAGCGGTGCCGCAGCGATGCCAGGAAAATGTCTTTGAAGAGGGTCTCGCCTGAACTCCCCCCCCACAATATGCGAGCATGTTCTAGCTGTTGCTGCCAAGCTTGTCTTCACGGTGGGTCTCCCCGCAAAATTGCTCGTAACATTACATGCTTAGGAGGGCTTCGGCCGTTGTAGCTATAGTTGCCTCAAATTGTTGAGGCAAAGGCAAGGAAAGGACTGCCAACACGGAGCACACGAAGCCTACAGCTTAGACATCACTGCTCACGTCGCTCGCATCAGCGCATGCAAGAGCCACACACAACATGTTGCAGCATGTTGAAGCTGTTAAGGTCAGACTCGGTGCAGGCATGTGCTGACATCAGTGGCCGCTCATCTTTGCAATCTTTCCGTGATGGCCGATTCGGTGATTGCCATCCCGTAAACCTCTCCAACCATTGAGAGGCAGTCCCAGACGGCATGTTGCAACCGAATGCGGCGAATACAGGCAGCCCAAGCAGCGTTCTCAGAGACTCTCTGGCACTGTTGTGGGCAGGGTTGGGGGAAGTTGGCTAACGTTTGCGCTTTGAACCAAATACTTGGAGCCGCGACTACGCAGAGACCGCAGAGACATGCAGAGCAAACAAGAGCGTTCAAAAGCATACGGAAAAGCATGCGAGAAGACTAAGTCTAAGTAGGACGAAGCTCCGATCAACAAAGCTCGCGAACAGATCCTCGGGGGATGATGCCGCCAAAGGGCCTGTGTGCAGTTGGGCGATGCGAAGTGTACGATGGAACGTTTGCTGCCAATTTTACATGGTCAGCCTCAGCCGGCTTGACATCTTGTTTAGCCTGCGCAGTATGTCCCAGCGTTCTGGCCCACCATACATCTCAGGGACGAGACATGGCGAGACTGACATCAAGATATCGCACGCTAGCCTGTGAAGGCGCTTGCAAAGGATGTCAACATTTTTTTTACACAACGCACGCCGGAGTCCGAATGTACAACAAGTGAACCGGGAGCAAAACTTTGGACACCACGATGCAGAGTGGGAAGAATCAGGTAACATCAAGTACTCCCTGTTAACCTTCGCACAACAGCGCCTTTGTCAACTCCACCTGAAGGAAACTGATTAGGCTTCCGATTTTGAGGCAATCTGTAGACAAAGACTGTAGGAGACCTTGGATGCAACAAACGGTTCCTTGATGGTTCATGTAAATGTGCAGCTATGGGACCCGGAATGATCTTCACGGCTTGCCTTATCGCTTTGCAGTTGCAGCTGGCTGTCCCCACTTCTGAAGCATCAGACGGTAACTTCACGCTGTCTTTTCTGGATGGCTGGCATTCACAATACGGTCAAGACCAAAGGATTATGAGGTGGCTCTACAATGAAGAAGCCGCAGAAGCTGCGAACGATGTCGCACATGGACGTGCCCATCGCCAGGGAATCTTCATCGAGCTCGGTGCTGGTGACGGGCTCGCCGGCAGCAATTCTTTAGCTTTCGAGCAGAAGCTTGGCTGGACTGGGCTCCTGATTGAGCCGGTGCAGTACTTCTACGAGCAGCTGCAGATCAACCGCCCGCACGCCACCTGCGTGCACGCTTGCGTTGCAGGGGCGACCGGCCCAAAGTCCTTCGCAGAGAGCGGAGTCAATAGTGGCACAACCGGGCGCCTGGTTGCTTCAAGCAATCTTGATAATCTCATTGAGATGACCTGCCAAACGTTAGGCGATCTGATCGATATGCACCTTGGGGAGATGGGACGGCACATCGACTTCCTGTCGCTTGACACGGAAGGTACGGAGCTAGAGATACTCGGAACTTTCGATTTCGACAGGCACCAGGTGGATGTAATGAGCATTGAGATCGACGATGCTCTTTCGCAAGAAGCCTACCGGCGCTTAACTCGCTTGCTCAAGCGGAAGGGCTTCCGATTCCTTGACAGACTGCTGGTGGATGAAATTTGGGTACGGACACCTGGACCGCAGTCTGACCCTACTTGCATTTACCCTTCCCTGCATTTAGAGGGTGCACGGCCTCATGCAGGCACATATTCTTGGGGTAGTCTGCGGAAGGTACTCACAAGCCTGCGGGATGTTCTTCTTCAGCAGCCGTTGGAGGCTTTCGATGAAGGTGTCTTATCTGGGGAGCCAAAGGAGTTATTGGCAGTGAATTACTTCTTCTACCAATGGACGGAAGCGGACTTGCAGGAGTGGGAAATGGCATGCCCAGCAGGCATGTTGACTCTAGGTCTTGCTTTCGTGCTGTTTCACAACCGTTTCGGTGCAGCCACACCATGGGCTTTGACAAAAGAGTTTCGCCAGCAATCGGTGTTCCATCACACGGAGCGAATCCTTCGTCTGGAGCGGATTGCAGACTTTGTGGGTCAGGTGAGGGAGTCGGAGCTGTCGGCTAGCCCCTTTGTGTTTCGCTTCCCCTTAGGCAGGGCCTGGCACTCAACGAGTTTCGAGCAGCTCCTGGAGGCGCGATGGCCCATTTTTGGATTCCTGGATGTCGCCGCAAAGCGCGTTGGGAACTCGGGGCACTTGATCGAGTCCAGCAGTTACAGGGGGGTAGAGGAGCGGCGCCCGCTCTTCTTGCCAACGATGCGCTGCCAGCTTGAGCTTGTTCCACACACTGACATGGTCCGTGTCGTGCACAAATCTCCACTACTTCGCAGGGGCAAGCACCGTTCCATGCAAAGCTTGCTTTTGAATGCCGATGCGTGCAGCATGCTTGCAACCGCTGCTGGCAACTTTCACCAAGCTCGCAGTGAGGTTGAGAGGCTGATTCGAGTTGAGCCTGCTAAACTCATGACTTTTGATATTCTGCAGAACTGGACAGCCGCTTGTTCACATCCTCGGTCGACTGAAAAATGCACGCTTGACTCGGCTGAGGAATGTGCCGCTCTCTTGGATGACCACCGAAGAGTTCCGAAACGTTGCTTGCAAGTTCGCCGTTCAGGTGGCTCGCCTTCGACCCTGCGCCTGAGACGCAGGATCCGCCTGCGAAGTACACGAGCAGGCTTCTGGATAGAGGAAGGCGAGAGGCTTTTTCGGGAGTTTGTGGCGAAGTACGACCTACAAGTGGCTCTATGGGCAGCAGGTCAAGTGGAGCTTGCACCCCACAAAGGCAATGTGGACAGCCGTAGCACATCTGACACGTGGCCAACCGCGGAGGAAGTGAAGCATCGAGAGACGATGTTTGGAGTTTTGAACTCTCTCCAGCAGATGTTGTTCTTCCCAGATGATCTGTTGCCACCACTTTGACTTTTTGCTCACGGCATCCCACTGGCCTTCCGATCCGCATGCGCCAGAACGTGGTATGCCCTGGCTCCTGGCATGACCATCCAATGCTGTCCTGCTTTCAGGGTGTTTGTGCCGTAGAGAAGCAGTTGGCGAGCTGGCGCTGTTTCAGGTCTGCAGAACATGTTGCTCCAAAACAAGTGGGCTTGCTTGTGATCCGCGCGTGAAGCTAAATGCGACTGCATCACGGTTCAGGTCACGGCGTCTAGGTCCAGGTTTCGGTAGCGCATCTGCAAAGATCGAAGCCGAAATGTGTAGATGGGCGCAAATGATGCGGAGTGTGCACACTTTCCCAACTGCATGTAGCAGTATGTAGCAGTCTGCGGCTTAATCTCGATAGTACTTGTCGTATGTACGCGACTCGCCGCGACTCAGCTAAGGCTGGTCTTCAGTTAGTCCAACGGGTCTGGAACAGTTTGCGCAGCAGACTTTGGCGGAGGCGTGTCTGTAGAGGATCATTTGCAATGCGAGAAGCGGACCGAATATGTTGCAGTCTTGTGATTCCACGCCAGGCCAGGAGCTGGGATGAGCCTTACGCCAGGCAAGCTTTTCAGTTTCCTCTCTAGCATTTTGCCACTCAGAGGGTCGGATACGCTCATGCCTTGACAGCCTGGAACCAGGCACAATCAGCATGCCGTCCACACGCAGTTCTTTGAAGGACACGGCTCAGCCTTGGCAGTTGTCGGGGTTATTGCAAGTATTGGCGTGCAGAGCGTTCGCGAGCGTGCGCCCTGCACCGCCTATCACCCCCTCTCTGGTGCTTCCCAGCAGCCCGGCCAACAGCGGACTTTGATGAGCAAATCGCAGCGCACAGCATTGGAGAAGTGAATTCGTCGCCCCCACTCCACGCAACATTCCGCGAGGAAGCGGGGTGATGACTCGCTTTCTGGCTCGCGGGGGCAGGATATCGCGATGTTTTCGAAATGTGCTGCAATCAGAATTTACATTGGGAAGTGGCCTCGGGCGAGAAACGGCGAAAGCTAGAGCCGCCCGCAATACATTCAACGCGCTTCGATCACTCTCGGGGACGATTTGCCTCGGCAAGTTAGTGTGGCCTATGTCTGCCGTTGTAGTCTGCCGCACGCAATGCTCCACGTACCAAGCTGCCGTGTACATATGTATATATGTTTATGTATATATGTCTTTTTAACGTAGAGAGGCTTTTGGGATTTACTACGATGAGCATGTTTTCATGCAGAGAAGACTGCGATAGCTTTGTGGAGCATGCGAGAAGAGCTGGCCTAACGATTCCTAGGAATATGTAGCAATGATTTGCGGCGCGTTGGTGTATTTCAGGTTGTTCCGGATTGTCACATTAGGAGGCTCGAAGGTTGCCAAGTTCCTACATTGCGATGTACATTCGCAGCAGTTAGGACAAAGCGATCTTTAAGAGACGACCTTCTGTTGAGCCTACAAAGCAAAGTCGTGCAGATTGCACGCCAACACATGTTCACCGGAAAGGCTGGGAAGCCTTGCAAGATGCACCTGAACTAAACAGTATAATCAACAAAGATGCATACCCTTGTCATACCCGAACTGGTGCCTGTAATTGAGCTAGTACACGTCAAGTCTCACTATCGAACGTTGACCGAATCGGAAACAAGTCTCGCTACATGTGTTCAGTTGCTTTCGCGACCTGCTTGGTAGCCAGCTGATGCATCTTGCATCAAAGCATCACTGGGGCTCTCTTAGGGCCCCAACAGCCTAGAGCATTGAGCTACCACTGCCCGGTTGGATCACCTCAGCTCGACAGTTTTGGCGATCCTGAATACTTGCATGACTTTGTAGAGTTGACTGAATTGCAGGCTCTCAAGAGCAGGAATATTCAGCTGGCAGATATCCTGACGATGCCAGGAGAAAGCCCGACCCCTACATCAGCTAGTTTCACAATGCAACAACACACATGCCTCCTGACACGGGCATTCACTCGCTGACTCAGGTGGGAGCACTCGCCCCCTCTATCTGCTGCCGGGTAAGTCTGGCACGATTGAATCTTTTTTTCAAGGAACAATGCGAGTGCAATATGCAATAATGTGCATGGGGCGGAAGCACCTCGGCATGGTTCGACAGATCATGGTCAACTGTGTGGTCAACACCCACATCGAAGGCTCGACACATCTTCGTGTAGATCCGTTCTAGATCTTCTGGGACTCCAGAATCTAGCCCACATTGGAGACAGGGAAATGCGCTTCCACTTGTGCTGGCCTCATCTCTGGCGACACATGGGACGCGACAATTGGCTTCGTTTCTGGCAATGACTTTTCCGCTTGCGTGTTTGGTTCGTCTTCTCAGGATCCAACAAATCCTTGGGCGGAAGATGTCCTGCGCCTTTGCGAGAAGCAAGGTCACGAAGTCGCGGGTGCGCCTGCCAGCGTCGCTCACGACTCACAACGTTCGCAAAAGAGTTTTTGGTGTGGGTAACTGGGCTTGCAACATGCTCTAGCAATACAGTCAAATCATAATTTATGTTGCGGCATTGCCCAATCCTTCCCCCCCCCCCCCCCCCCCCCCCCCCCGGCGCCCACACCCCCCCCCCCCTCCCCCTCCCACTCCTTCCCCCTCGCGCCCCACACCCCCGCTCCCTCCCGACACCCCCGCCCGCCCCCCCCCCCTCAACCACCTGTGGTCTGGTTTGTGGTGGTGGGTGTGGGTTTAGGATTTATGGGATTTTTAGGGTTTCAGAATTTAGGGTGTTCATGGTTTTGTGGGTTTTAGTCCGGGTACCCCCCCGCCCCCCCCCACGCGCGCGCCCCGCGGTGTGGCAGTGGGTTTGGGTTTAGGGCTTCTGGTTCAAGGCTCTAGCGTTGGAGGGCTTTAGGGTTTCAGGGCAGAGCTTTTTAGGGCTTTGGGCTTGGGGCGGCAGACACCTGACCACTTTATTGATGATTCCGTGTCGCCGTGTCTACAAAACCCACACACAAAGCCTAACCATATACATCTACCCTAGACCTAGTTTGCCCTAAACCCTAGAATCAGTCACCCTAAACAAACCTTTTAAACATCTTGAAACCCTTAAACCCTATCAAGCACAAGAGTGAGGGGGGGTCCCTAAACCCGGGGTGGGGGGATAGGGGCCCGCAGAGCGTGTGACCACACCTTGCTTTCATGATCCTATCTGTATATGTAGCAGATACGGTAGCATGATGTCTCGTGCAGGCCGCTTCGACTTGAGTCCGGCCATGGTCACGGGCTAAGAGACCGTGGTTCTCATACGTCACCTCATGAGGAGAGGAGCGAGGAGATGAGCAAGGAGAGGCAAAGCCAGGAACAGTGAAGGAATTCACGAAGCAACATGGACATCGCGCGAACCCAAAGAATCAAGGATGATACTGCCACTGTCCTAGCCTCATGCCGTTGACTGCAGGCTGGACGCAATGTCGTGCCAAGTTGGAATGATACTGCACATATGGGACCCCATATGGCCCATATGTATTGATCCGACACATCGGCTCTCTTTTTTTGTCACACCGGCGCTTGGAACGCAGGAACGCGCACGTTTTGGCTTTCAAAGCAATGCCGTTTGTCACCGGATGTAGCCGATAATTAGTTGCGCGATGCCTGGGCAAATGCCTCTTGCATTGCAGGGCTATCGGTCCGAAGCTTGCCTGCTGCAAACTCTTGCGCGGCAAGCTGTTCCAAATTAGGCAGGTGTCAACGCTCTTTCATGCCATTTCAACCAACTCGACTTAGCTGCGATGCACAGCCGCATATACTTTCATATTGCCTGTCACATGCAAAGCGTAAACGGCATGGGCTTACCCCAGAAATAGTTGGCGGTGCGTTGCAATCACAACATTGACTCGTGGACTCGATGATGGGTGATTGGCGTAGCATCTGACACAGGAGCAGCTGCAACGTCGAGAAATCCCTTCCCCAGTACCAAAACCGCCCCAACCTTCCCTCTCAAGAACAATATGACCTGGCCGGAAAGAGATGTCCAGGGAACGCACTTAAACTTCAACTCGAAGGCCTGAACCCTGTTTAAAGTCCATAAGACCCCAACCCCGTAGCAGGTTTTGTAATGGATTCGTGTAGTATTCGGGGTACGGATTGCATGGGTAGGACACGCCATCGGCATTTATCAGAATTTTCTTGAAGTTGAAGTTGCCTTGATCGGTGGCCAGTTGAACTTGCAAACGTAGTCGCTCCTTTGGCTTCTTGACCGTGGCCGGGTCAGATATGTCAGATCCTGTTCGGAGTTGCTCGGATGCTGTTTTCAGCATATTTGGCTTTGGTGTGAGTTTACACGCGGTTGCTTCGTGCGCTCTCGTACAAAGGACTGTGTGATGAGCGCATGATTCGACCACACGCAGTGCCATCTAAGAATGCATCCTTTCAGGTGAAAACTGGGTCTGCAGGTGAGCTAACATGGCAACGACTGGCTCAGATTGCTGCATTCGTGGGCACAGCGCTGCAGTTGCCGTTTGTAGTTTGTAGATCAGCTTCGGTGAGGAGTTGAGCGAAGCGAAAATGAGTGCACAACTTCGCTGCACGTGACAGGAGAGAGGGAGAGGCAAGGCTGGTCCTGAGAGAGCTGTTCTGGGCACAGTATCTCTTCAAGGTCCAGTAGCATCGGCATGCCGCACATGTCAGCACACTATTCGAAGAGCATCGAACAGCCCTTACACAACACGAACCGGACCCGTTCAAGAAGCCTTGACGCAGGCACGCACGTCGCTGCGACATCGAGCGAAACAAAAGCGTAGCAAAATGTGCATGGGGGACTTTGGCAGCAGCGCGATCTAGGCCACAAAGACGGAACGCACCCGCCTGGGCGTACCTGGGCAAGCAAGCGCGAGGCACGAATGCAGAAATGTTCGCAAAGCGACGCGGCCAAGAATCCACGGGGCAGGACGTCGAGGCAAGAGCGCGGCCGAATTGTCTGGCCTAGGCACCGCGGAGACAAAAACAACTTTCAGTTGCCTGCCGAACGTTTTCAAAGGACAACGGAGGCTTCAAGTGGA